GCTGTTTTCACCTCTCTAAATCCATATATCTTTGGTTCAATGTAAGTAGAAAGAATTGCTTCCAAAAATTTTAGAACAAAAATAGAATACTGATCATGTTAACATGTCTCTTTTTTTTTACGTATGATGACATAACTCTATTCTGAAACTAAGCCTTCATTTGTGTCTTTTGAATAATTTACTGATAGAGGCACACAGTGAAATACTCCCATCCCATAATCACATACACTTAAACATCTTTCTTATCTGGAAAATACTTCACTTAAACAGCATTTTCTACAGACAACAATTTTAATAAAATGTACAGATCACTGTTTATCAATCCAATACAAGACTTCTTTAAACATATATCTAAGCATAAAGTAAAAAATGTAACCTTCATCTTTGACAAACTTCAAAAAAAAGGAAACCATGTCAATCTTTTTTACATTTCCTTACAATTTTCATGAAAAAATTATCTTTAACTCAGTTGGGATAACTAAGAAATTAAAAAGCTGCAATGATAATTTTAGTTTGTAGACTGGGTTTGATGATTCCTTGTACATAGTGCTGCCTAAACATGAGAGTATCTCCATCTTGTTGGTCCTTTGAGGGATCTTTTGGCATTGTGTGAAGTTTTTAAATAATATGATCATGATAACCCTTCTTCTTTTCAGTTCAAAGAATTATCAATTCCCTGTCCATTGCTCACACATAGATTTGGAAGCATAAGACTCAGAAATGAATATGTTAAAATGACATCAAATAAGACAATCTGAATGATATTACCTCCAGTAATATAGCTATCTTTTTTGACAATGAATTCATTTTTAATCTGTATTAATTAAAAACAGTCATCTCCGAAATTTTGCTGTTGTCTCCGTTTTTATCATGATTTCAGTAACCAACATCATTCCTTTGATATAGCGTCTTTTTAAGCTCATCAGACCATCAATATACAAGTAAAACTATCACAGAAATCGTGATTGGCCCTATACAACATGTGTAGCAGTATTACACTCTCTGCTATAAAACACTATTTATCAAATTAAGTACAAATTTAACATATATTTTTGAAAGTTTAACACATAAATTTGACACTAATATCATTGTCAGTTTCAACAATCTTACGAAAAATAACAAATGTTTAAAGGAATAGAGTTTTCTATAGAGAAATGATAGGAGATAAGAAGTGATCGATGAGTAAAATTTGAGATTAAAAAGTGAGCAAGATATAACATGGGTATTTATATATAATATATATATATATATCAAATATACATTCCAACAATGATTGATACCTATACAAAATCTATTTGTACAAAAAATGTATATGCAAACATTTCTGAACTTTTCATACACATACAAATGAATACTATATATAGTAGACAGTGTGGAGGACACTCAGCAAACATATATGGTACAAAACATACCTGTATTAACCAGGGCCTTTCTGATCAAAGCCTCCTAATGCATCATTGAGAAAAATGAACACATTTACTTTCCTCATGCTTAAATGGCTTTCAGCAGTGAGACCCTAGGAATAACACTTCCTCACTGCCAATTTGTACAAGACGGATAATGAGATTGCACATGCCTCTAACAGTAAATTGGGACCACAGCGATGGCTGGTCTTGTCCAGAGAATAAAACCAACAGATACAAAACAATGCACAGAAATATGAATAGGATTGTTTTTGTTGTGTACAAAACTAATCCCTTCAGAACAAAGTTGTTTTTTTTAACGAAACCAAGCATTGTTTATATCCCTTTTGACCAATAAAGTTAACTGTCCCTTTTGGAAAGGTACTATGAAAATTATCACATCATATATGCTGATATCATAGAGATTATCACACCAAATAAGGTAAAATACCATGAAAATTTTAACACTTTATAAGGTAGAGTACCATGAGGTTCTTCACACCTTATAAGTAGGGTACCAGGAAGATTGTCACACCTTATAAGGTAGGGTACCATGGAGATCATCACACCTTTTAAGGTAGGGTATTATAGGAAATCATCACACAATATATGGTATGGTACCATGGAGATAATCACACCTTATAAGGCAGGGCACCATGGTATCACACCATATATGGTCAGGTACCATGTAGATAATCACACCTTATGAGGCAGAGCACCTTGGTATCACACCATATATGGTCAGGTACCATGGAGCTTATCACACCTTATGAGGTAGGGTACCATGAGATTATCACACCACATATTGTATGCTACCATTTCCAGAACATAAATGCTCCAAATACTACTTTTTCAGACCAATATCAAATATTGGATAGAGATTTTTTGTCAAAAAAAAAAAAAAAAAGAAACATAAATTTGAACCTGATCTCTAGATGATAACATGAACATATTCATGGACACAAAACTGGTGACAACATTTCTCCAAAACAATACATATTTGTTTACCTATTTCATTGTGCACTAATAGAGTGATCCATTGCTGATAATCAACAAAAAGCACTGTAAAATATCACTTTTATTCTGCAAGTTATACATTAAATAATTAATCAAGAAAATCAGTTTATATACTATTTTTTTGTAGAATCAATTTTGACTGCAAAATACCTAGTCCTTCCTTACTGCTCACCTCACACTGAATAAAATAAAAAAAAAATATGTAAGACTTCACCTATATTAAATAGGTATTGTGCTACCAGTGGTTTGGCTCAGCAGACCAAAGACTTTCGGTGTCTATACTATGAGGAGCCTGCTTCTGGCTTTTACGGATGCAACCATCAAAAAGTGGCAACATAAATTAAAAAAAAACCAATAACTGATAGTAATGATCAAATTTCAATATCCACAATGATCAACAGTGCAAGCACTACCAGTAATGATCTAAGAATATCATTTTCTCAGACATTTCTTTTCTAGAATTATTCACAAGTACTATTAGAAATAATCTGGGAGTATTGTGTTCTCGAGACGTACTACCAGAAATATCTAACAGTATGGTGTTCTTCAAGACACACTACTAGAAATGATCTACGAGTATCATGTTCTCGAGACATACTACCAGAAATGAACTAGGCATATAGTGTTCTCCGAGACATACTACCAGAAATGAACTAGGCGTATGGTGTTCTCCGAGACATACATCAAAAATGATCTAGGAGTGTGGTGTTCTCCAAGTCATACTACCAGAAATGATCTAGGTGTAAAGTGTTCTCAAAGACATAGTACCAGAAGTAATCTAGGAGTGTGGTGTTCTCAGATCCATACTTCTATAAATGATCTAGGTGTATAGTGTTCTCTGAGTCATACTACCAGAAATGATCTAGGTGTATATTGTTCTTAGACATACTACCAAAATGATCTAAGAGTATGATATTCTCATCCATTTCTTGTTCTCTTTTTCAACTCACATGTATCATACCACATCTAGCCATCCTGAATCAAATAAGTTATGTGATATACATACATTTTTCATTTGACTTTGTTATTTGAATCCCCAAAAGATGAATCAAAACAGATATGGCACAGACTAACATCATTATTGCACTGGCATATTGGCACCTTACTTCTAATAAAGCCTTCCAAATATTCCAGGCCATACACTAACTACAGATACACAAATAGCTGCCACAGGATGAACAATAACAAGAATTGCAAAACAATCATCATTAAATTGTAAAACCTTTAGCACTGATTAAAACTATACTTGAGGAATAAGATAGGACTAACAGATATACTCCTACACAGAGTAAATCTAGTAATTAAAAGAATTGTGTCATCTATAATATTTGGCGGCCATAAAACTCAACATCTGTCTGGCATTCATCTCTAATAACACATCATATTGGTGATACAATACACATAAAAAAAACCACACTACCCTGTCACTAACAAATATCTTACTACCTCCATTTCTGAGCTGTCGACATCCAACACTACAATTCCATCTCTTGGAATAACTGCCCTTGAATACCAACCTAACTATTCTGTAAATTGTACAGACAATACCACAGACTTGCTAAGCACTCAGAAAGCCTGTTAAATGAAACAGTATTGCACTTTGTCATATTAGTCACAAAATTACAACAAGGAATAGATCTAAATCTATTGTGACATATTCAGAACAGAACATTTTTGTGACTAGCCACAAAACTTCAGATATTGTCACTACAAAGTTATTAATCATCAAAACAATTTATGCCTATAATGAGCATACAAAATTAACATGCAACACAACACCTAGAGACTCTATATCAACCTCAAAAATCATGTGTACTTTGTAATACAATAAAGAATAGTATATGGACGTAAGAAGCCTTTGTACCAAGCAGATACACAGAACACATAGACAGAGCTGGCCAAATGGACAATAGAAACTGGTAGATTGCCACTAAAATACTGGATATGTAATTCTTAGGTGATTTACTACACCAGTGCAGTAATGAATTTCGTCTTTCTGGACATTTTTGGTCTGATTTGTTTTGTTTTGACTTTGTAAAATTTTTAATTTTCTCCAGTTTCACATGATTTTTTTTCATTCTTAACTTAAAATATCATATCTAGTCTTCAATATCAATTCAAATTTGAAATAGAAAATTGACAGACATTTCAAAAATCTTTATCTTATATTTTTTCTCTTTCTGTAACAATTATAAATCTTTCAATTACCTTTTTCAAAGAACAATTTTTAACATTTTGTAAAAATCTTACTTTTTTAAAAAGGAAACAATATACCATACTATCAACAGACAAAACAACATTTTTGATCAACAGTAAAACACGTAGGAGTTAGAATCAACCCAATCACATAGCCATAGAGAATCACAGACTTGGATAGCCTTCGAACCAGAATAACTCCGCATCGGAAAATCCGGTGGATGGCACAGAACGAGCATGCATGTCCTACACAGGACATACAGCCAGGGTTATATTACGGGTCTCCCAGTGTGTATGAGCTGCCATTATGTAACTGATGATCCAAGGAAAGCCCTACAGCAGAAATGGGGTTATCTGAAGCACCATATGGGAAGGGACACACTATCAGCCATTTGGGGAGCCTGTGGGCAGTATTGTTTTAATAGTCAGTTCCATATTGTTTGGTTTCGGTTGTTTTCTATCAGCCTCTGCCAGTCTATGAATCTTCATATGAGCACTTCGGCTTTTCACTTTTGGGAACACTCTGAAATAGAAAAAAAAGAACAAGTGAGCTTTTTGTATTTAAATCTACAAATTATCTGCACAAAAAAGCAAGTGGAAAGAAACAGCAACAAAATTGGCAATATCATTAATCTGAAAAATTCATCTAAAGACAATGCCTTTTTTTCACAATTCTATTTTCAGTAATGTTACTTTTAACCTTGAACAAAGAAAGACTGAACTTGCAATTTTGAAGAAAATCAAGAAAAAGGGCTGCCAAAATGGTGACAGGGAGAGTTACAGAAGACAAGATTCATAAAACATTCAAGAATAATGTTGGTAGTTTTCAAATGAAAAGATGTGTGACAGTAAAATATGAAATAGTATAAATATGTTAAGACTGGGAGTGTGATGGACAAACAGAGAATTGTTTGACAAATGGATGGCAAAAAACATTAGTATGGTTCAAAACTCTTAGTGTTCTGTCATTTTGGTTTGCTGACCTTCCACAAAGTTTACAAGGGAACACCTCTGAGCCGTCGCCAGGGACAGGTGCTGGAACAGTTTTGTTGGGGAGTGGATTAGGCTTGGGCCTGCCAGGTGCTCTGTTCTCTATGTTGCGGCCTGAGGCAGGAGAAGAGTTTTTAGAGCTACCATGAATTCTCCCATGAGCATTCAAAGCCTGCTTTGAACCAAATGCCTAAAACATAAATATTATCTACATAAAAAACATGACAGATATATATGTATCATATAACTGTCTATCGCAATTCATAGAAAAATGCAAGAATGTATCTTTTAACTCTTTCTGTACTCAATTAAAATTTCATGGTTGTTACCAGTAGTGATTTCAGGGTCAGTCCTTCATGCTTGACGCTTATAAGAGCACATGACTGTAGTGCTCACTTTGATAAAAGGATGATTTATGACTGTGTGTTGCTTATCATATGGTATGTTGACATTTCTGTGCTACAATCTATCATATGAAATGAGTTTTTACTTAACCTCTGCTTGGAAATCTAGTGCAAGTGTTCAATAAAATGATGGGATTAATGACTGTTCATGTGCTCAGTGTCACTCGTGTGTAATATATCACTCATACACAACACTGTTTTTTCTGTAGCATGCATAAGTTCCTATTTTATTTTGCTAATAAACTTTACTCAATAATATTTATCTTATAGTTTTTAATATTTTGATTCTGTTTTTCTTGTCATCAATGCTTGAAATAGGAAGTAGATTCCAAGTTTGTCATTTTGTACTTAGCGTAACAAGAGGCCTTGTTGCCTTGATGGTTACCAAAGATATGCAATATTGATTATAAAGGTTTAAGAGCAGGTAGCTTTCAAGTGTAATGAAAAAGGAATTGTGACATTGATCATATAAGCCAGTGTGAATACCTGCATACCATCAAAACTGTCATCCTATACTAATAATTCTTACAAAGAATTTGTATTTCAGTGGGAAAATAAACAACACTATGCTCAAAAATGCAATTTTTCTATGAAAATTAAATTACAGTAAAGTTAACTTCCTACCTAAAAAGAAATGAGACCCTTTTTGGTAATTAAAGCACCTAAAGACGCTTTTTCCATCCATTAAGAGCATTTGATCCTACCTGGGTGTTCAGAAGAAGATTTTAAAAATTTATGTCAATTTGACCATGTTTGGCCCCATCAATCAGCTCAATGGAGATCAGTCAGGATCAATACAGGCAAATTGCCAAGCTGTCATCCCTCACTCATAACTCAAACCAAGTTTGAAATATTTATAATGGAATTAAACAAATCATACTCAGAAATCTATTTTGCCCTTTTAGCCCCACCCCTCAGGCCCCTGTGAGGTGGGAACAGTATAATTCACTATTTTGGTTCATCTTAGGCCAGGGAAGGTTTCTGCAAAATTTCATTGAAATTGATTCAGGGGTTTTTAAGAAGTAGAAAATATTAAATTGTTTACGGACACATAACGGTGAACGTGATCAATCGCATAAGGTCACCATGAGACTTTGTCTCAGATGACCTAATAAACCTGGCATATATCAGCTGATTTCAGAGTATTTTGTTATTTTGAAAACACTTGAAATACAGCTGAATTATCATAATGATTCTCTGGGTGATATTTATTATACGTTAGATAAACAATTCGTCTGTCAATTCCTACATATGACAATGTCTGAATGGTGAGTTACACCAAGTGTTTCAGGATGTCTCAAAATATTATGAAGGATACAGGAGCACTTTTTTCATTATATCACAAGACGTCATGATTATGGAAAGAGTTCATGAAGCATCTACAATGGTGCAATAATATTGGACGGATAGTAACTGTGACATTGTCTTATTCTAAAATTGGGAGATCAATAATGTCTACATTTTTTTTTCTGTCTTAAATTGATGTCATTCTCCTGTAAATAAATGTTATTTACTATTCAGACAAATATCTACATCAATCTACATGGAAGCATTGTGTAGCTACAAAATCATCAATTTCTTGGAGAGCATTATCAGACTAACAGCATGATTTCTGTTATGTAGTATATATTCATAGCTTACTGCTGTGCACTCCGGGAATTCACAAGGAAACATTGGAACTGGGGAGGACCGCACAGACGAACTGGACAGTTGTTCCTCTTCTTTGTCCAGGTGGTCGCCTGTGTCCAGTGAGGAGCTGGAATCTGAATCACTGTCATCCTCATCTGTAACCTGTGTCAGCCCACTTTGCTGCTGCTCCTGTTGTTGCTGCTGCTGGCGTGTCCGTAAATTGTACAGCTGGTCCTGTTCACGTTTACGCCGCACCACTCTCAGGCGTTTGTGTTCATCTGGACAAACCTTTTTCCATAGGTAGTAAAACTGAACACAATCACCAGTTGATTTGGTCTCCACCTGTCAAACATAAATTTAATAAATACTGGAGAAATACAAAGACCAAAGAACAAAGCTCATCAAATTCAAACATTTTACTGCTACATAGTCTAGGTACTTACTTAATTCATCACTGAGTGTCTATTCAGCAAACACGAATAAAAAATATTAAAGCAAACAAGCAGATACATTAAAATTATTGGTATCTTAAGAATTTCACAAATCTTTGAATTTTGACAGGTATAAATTTTCATGTACATGTCAAAGCTGTAAATATTCAACTTTTTCTGCACTAAATACAAAATATGCATCTTTGTAAATCATGCACAAAGTTTTCCACTAAAAACTTTTTTTTTGGAAATGTGATAGAAATGCAAATATGAACTTCTTTCTATGGCTTATTGTTATATCTAAACATCAATATTAGCTTCAGAAGAGCCTGTATGCAAATAACCAAAGTGTAATGGACAGAGTGGATCATTTAATATCCTCAGTTGTATCCCTTACCTCTTTCGAGATACTCAGGAAGTCTTTGTCACATTTCATCAGTGCCTGCTGATAACGTTCAACTTCCTCTGTAGACCAAACTGTTGATTCTGAATAAAAAATATGTTAAATGCTAATCACTCCAAGTCTCAACATTTTAAAATAGATCACAATCATTTTGTCATCTAAAAGTCTTGACATGTAATATGGTCATCAAAACTCCTCAGCTCTGAGGACTATGTAAACCTACCCTGTGTAAGAATACCCTATTTGGAAGTACATGTGCAAGGCTGATTTGTTAGAATACAGCTTCATACATAAGCCCTCTTATTAAAAGTGTGGTTTACAAACAAAAAACAAGCTTGTTATGACGTTTTATGGGTGTACCATCTGTGAATAATCACATAATTTCCTATAGGCACAAATGAGAATGAATATGGTTGTTACATATGATAAGTTAACTGTCATATGTCAGTCTGGTTGTGTCAATTTCTCGCGTCACGTAACTGGTCAGTTTCTATTCAGCTTTCAGCAGCAGCAGGACTTTTTATTTAGTACCAATAGTGTTTTTATCATCACATCCCCACCACTTGACCATAACTGTGATGCCTGGAGATTAAGTGAGTTAACACTTTTCAGCTGTTTCTGAGCATGGATAAATCATACTGTCCCCCTTCCTTTTCAGGGAGTTAGGGTTTATGCACCCAGCTCTGCAGTACACTGGGGCATGGGTTTTTAAGTCCCCCGAAGAATTCTTCTATCAAGCTTGTTTGTTGCTTCAGTTACATGGACTCAGCCAAAAGATTCTCTTGCTAAACCTACAGGTTTGACTGGTCAACTAGGTATAACTGAAGTCTTGTCCTGTACCACAGCTGTTATATATCAGCGACCAAATCATGTTGATGACTAATAAATATGTAGTTGAAGCCTATATTCCTTTCTTGTCTTTCTGTTCATAAATATGTAATTATTTACCTGATATCAGTGAAATATAAGAGAATAAAATTTGAGAACATACATCAGACAAGCTAAGTGATTCTAAAAGATTTTTAATATGATTAAGATTTGACAGATTCCTAAATGACAACAATAAGATTTGACAAATTTGAGAGCACATTTTTACGACATTTGACAGATTTGTTTGCAAGAACAAACCTTGAGCTTTGACAGATTTATTTATAAGAAAATATCTCATGAATCGTAAGGACACACCAGGGGATTTATATGATTTTGTGCAAGAACATACCATATTTTCCAGGTTATAAGCCGCACCACCCATATAAAAGCTACAGGGCTGTTTTTCCAAGTTTTTTTTTATCTGATTCACATATAAGCGGCACCAGAATGTAAGCTACACACTTTATTAAGATATAGTAACCACTATTGTTGACATTTGATAAACTGGTAACAAATAACGGAAGGCAGTTTATCAAGATCGTCAGTCCAACATTTGATATAGTTTACTAATGAATTTCGCACAAATAATCCTTTCTTTTATGGATGTATTTTTAAATTATGCTGGTCATTTAAAATACATAAAATACCATATTGTTTGGGGCCTTCAATGATTGCCAACGCACAGGTAGGGCCTGGCTTAAGTACAGTATTACAACCTTGTCACCAGTGTTCCTATAATCCCCCAATATATTTTTTTATATAAGCTGCACACCCAAGTCAGGACGAAAAATGGTGCAGCTTATCTGGAACATATGGTACCTCAAAACTTGTGTGATTTTTTTTGTAAAACCATACCTTGATATGTGTAAGAATGCAGACTGTGATATCGTGGTACCCTGATGGCTGAACTCATCAACATCAGCATAGCTGTCTGTAATACAATTAATTACAACATACATTAACACTAAATTCATATTAAAAAAAAGGTAAAAATTTACTAGCTCATTATGTATCATCATTTAAATGTACAAGCCAAGGGTTGAGTTTGCTGACATTCTAGGACTGTGATACAATATTTCGTTTACCTTTTAGCAGTAAAATGAATACTAGCTTACCTGAATGTTGCCATTAGCCATTCGTAATAAATGTAAAGCATATTCTACATTGGAACCATTTCCTTTCACAGCTGATGAGCAAGCAAATTCTTGATAAAATTGCACTGTAAAACAAGAGAAACTTTTTTCGTACATCCAACGCTATGCTATTAGCAAAAGGTTTTATTGTTAATATATTCAAATGAACTGGAATATTTTATGAGAAAAAAAAACTGACCGGGACTTTGTTTATGGTTGTGATGAGAGTATAGAGGAATGATAAATTTCTAGCTCAACTTTTTGTTTTTATATCAATTGCAGCTATTTTACGAGCTGTTTTGCCATTTTTGCTGTTGATGAAATAAACAAACTGTACAAAAAGAATTTTTTTTAATACACATTTTTTTTTTTAAATTTTCAACATGTATTTAATATAAAACTGCCTTTTAGACTATATTTAAGTATTACAAATGTTATACACATACTGATATGTGCCATTATTCAATGTTTGCATGATTGACCTACAAGGCAGTACCAACAAAATCAGAAATGTGTTATTTTGACTTCAAGAAAACTGAAGTCCTTCAATACAAGCACACTGCAGATCATAATCAGTACAGCTCTCTACACTAGAGTAAGCAATTGCATGTACAATGACAGAAGGTTCAACAAACAAGGCCTGACTTGTCAACTAAAACAAGTAAACAACATAACAAAATATGAAGTTGCTTTGGTCTAATAAAGAGGTTTGTATTTTTCCTTTTTGTTTTTTTTTCTCTCTCAATGTTTTGGCAACTTTTGTACATCAAGTAAATTTCAAGTTTTAAAAATGTGTTCTTGTCAAGTTCAAAGCCATAAATACAACAGAAAATCTGAAAATAGGTTTGTTTCAGATATTAAACAATGAACACAGAAATACCTTGATTCCTTTCCATACATTTTCTCAATAATTTAGTTAAATTTATAAAAAGTTCAATACAATTTCTTAATCTAACATACTGAAATGATAGTGGTTCAGGTGGCCTATGTTTTACACACTATTGACTCTAATTTGCTGTAGGTGTATCATTTTATTAACCTACCATCATGGTCACTGTTATCCCCTATAAAGGAAGGGTTCCACATTAAATCTTCTTTAGGCTCCACCGATTCCAAACCAACTCTACTGCCTGAAAAAAAATAATAACAAGCATGAAATGGTAATTTCAGTGTAAGACATGTAATATCTAATATCAAAATGGTAATTTCAGTGTAAGACATGTAATAGCTAATATAAAAATGGTAATTTCAGTGTAAGACATGTAATATCTAATATAAAAATGGTAATTTCAATTTAAGACATGTAATATCTAATATCAAAATGGTAATTTCAATTTAAGACATGTAATATCTAATATTATAATGGTAATTTCAGTGTAAGACATGTAATATCTAATATAAAAATGGTAATTTCAGTGTAAGACATGTAATATCTAATATTAAAATGGTAATTTCAGTGTAAGACATGTAATATCTAATATAAAAATGGTAATTTCAATTTAAGACATGTAATAGCTAATATTAAAATGGTAATTTCAGTGTAAGACATGTAATAGCTAATATAAAAATGGTAATTTCGGTGCAAGACGTGTGCAGTGAAATTTGTATGAAGAAAGTGTACTTACTGTTGAAAGGGGGTATTTCTGCCTGATACTGAGATCCTATGTTTACATGACTGAAAAAATCAAACATTAAATATCACTTCAATTGTAAACTTAAATATTAAATATCTCATTGAATATCTGTGTACACTTCCATAAATGAAATATTTCATAAAATACAGCTGAAACTTGTCTCAAAAAAGCTTGAGCTGAAATTCTGTTTGAGTCAAAATAATTTCCTAACCCCAATTTTCTTCCTTCTTTATCTGTTCTTTTAGTTTGGATGATTAAAATTTCATCAAGTAAAAATTTTGTTGGAGTCGAAGTGATTTTTCAGTCCCTTTAATTGTACAGCAAGGGAAAAGTCATTCATTCAATTTTTGTCAAAAGATCTGCACGTGTTCTGACGAAATCTGTCATGCACAGAGTAGAAAGAACTTTGCCACACACATGGCTAATTACGGTGTATCAGTCCATCATACACACAACACTTGGTCTATGGATAATTAAACTGGTAATTAATTGCCTATCAAAAGTTCTCTTCTTTATTAATGTCAACTTCCTGTAGCAGTAACAGTAAACAAAAAGGGCGTTTACACAAGCCATGAAAACATAGCTTGGTTGTGTGCATCTTCAGTTACAATCAAAACAAAACCCTCAAAACAGCATGAACTTTTTGACGAAATCTGATCCTCGCAATTCCAAAAAAGTTTGGACAATGTAGTGCTGAAAGTATTTCTCATTGAGAGAGTTTATATCTGTGCATGATTTGTTAAATCAAGTTCTTGTACATCAACTATCAGTGAAAATTTCAATAAATCAAACATCTCTTTGAATATCAGCGTACACAATCACAATGAATATCATTGAACACTTCCACAAATAAAACATTTCATTTAATGTCATTGTACACTATCTCATCAATATCAGTGAATACTTCCATAAATAAAACATCTTATTGAATATCAGTGTACACTTCAATTCAGCAGACAAATAATTAATCAGATATGCCCAAGAACCAAGCACTGTGAAAATTGCCATTTGAATGTAAAATGATGTGGTAGTGCTGTTGTTTTGCACATTGAAATGCAATGCCAAATTTCTGATATAAAAAAATGGGAATTCATAACTGCTTTTAAAACATCCTTTGTTTTACACTTTTCAGAGAGTTCCTAAGACATAGCTTGAGCTTCTTCTGACAATATTGATGCATTTATTCATGATCTAGTAGCAGCATCCCTTTGTGGAATCTTTTTAAACAATACTTTGTGATCATCGTTTGAAAAAATAACCCAAACTAATCAAGCCAATGTATTTAAATTGCACCATGAAGTTTGAATTTGAGCATGATGTAGGATAGGCAGTAACATTTGATTACAATTAAGATTTGATTTTATACATGATGAGCTACTTACGGTTGTACATCTGTTTCAGGTGCTGCTTCCTCTGATTCCTGTGGAAGAGAAGTCTCTTCTTCATCCTCTTCCTCCATCTTCATCACTTGATCAAAATGACCTGCAAAGTAAATTAGGTGGTCCACTCTTATACTATCAAAATGACTTGCATAAAGTAATGTAAATGAAAATGACCTACAGTTGAAGTTGAACTATCCATTTTTGAAATATCTTAAAAATCCTAAACATAAAAAAGCAAATTTAACACACAAAGTGATGACTGAAAATCTCACTCACCTAAACTTCCTCTGTTACTCATACCCAACTGGAGAGACCTTGGAGTAACAGGAGCAGATTTTGGGGTAACTGGCTTGTACATACTCCAAAACAGACCTGATCCACTCCGAATAGGACTGAGCATGGGAGGAGGTGTGTAAGGTGGAGGGGTGTTGCCCCTGCCTTCTATATGAGGGTTAATGCGAGGTGACCTAAGCCTGCTCTGAAAGCCACAATTATTCATATGAGGAGGTATAAACAGCGGAGCCGGCCGATGCTTCCTTTTCAATTTGATGGGACTAGATAAAGTATTTGGATTTCTAAACAGTCCTGCACCATCTGATTTTGAAAACGGACTTCCCCAGTATTCCTCTGATTTTGATTTCATTCTCCACAAGGAGTCCTCCGTACGACTCCTCGGCCTCATGAACGTGTGATCCTCACTATTGGCACGCATTAGGTTGTAGTCATCACCTGATTTACTCCTCATGCGAGGCCGTGTGTGACTGTCTGTTTTGACATGGGTGCCACTGGACGGGTTGTGTTTGACATATGTTATTGGCGTTGATCCCTTAGACCCGATATTATGCTGATTACCTGAAGAATAAGACTTCTTCAAAAGTTCTACTTCACTACCTACTGAAAGTCTTCGTTTAAGTTCTTGATGTTGATTCTGAATTGATTTGGCGTCTGATTTTGTATTCAAACTATTGTCTATGTTCAGCTGTTGTTGAACTGAATCACCATGAATGCCTATGATGCCCTCAAAATGCCCTCCTGGATTGTGTTGACTCCCTATGCTGCCTGGCAAATCCCCTTCAGGATCGTTACCACTAAGAGAGTCTATGGTTGGGAATGAAAATGGATTACTGTCAGCTGCCTTGGATTCTGTATGCAATCCCCTGTTAGCCATTTGTTCCATGATCTCTTGTTTAAGTCGCTCCGCAGCACTATCCAAATCTATGGTAGCACTTCCTGTACCACTGTGTAGATTCCCAGAAGCATGCGACACTACAAAGCTGTTAGACATTGAGGTGTTATCCAGCGTTGGCGTCACTGCCAGGTTGTTTTCCTCCTTGATAGTCGAGGGTAGTGTTGACATGTTGGGATGGCCAACAATAGGAGATAGACCTGCTATACCTCCTACCAAACCACTAGTTGTTGTTGTCTGGCTGCGGAAGACAGTACCAACTGGGTCCTGTATCCCATCTATGCCATTGAGTAACTGAGCAACAGACAGTTCTGGATTATCTGCACTTGTTGTGACAAGAGTAACCTGACCAGCAGAGAGATGGCTTGGTGACACAAAAGATGTCTGCGATTGTGGCATTACCTCCTGTTGTGGGTTTGGAGTTTGAATTGTGAACTGTGGAATTTGAGCAATGGCGGATTGGAGGTTTGACTGAATAGACATGGAGCTGAGACTGACAGGAGGTGGTGAGTGTAGCTGCTGTAACACATGTTGAGGATGAGGAACTGATTGCTGCTGCTGTTGTTGTTGCTGCTGCTGCTGTTGTTGTTGTTGTTGCTGTTGTTGTTGTTGCTGCTGTTGTTGTTGTTGCTGCTGTTGTTGTTGTTGAGAAGACATACTGAGCTGCTCTGCCAGCTGGCCAATGTCCATCTGCTGGATGATGTCTCGAGGACCCTGCTGCTGCTGCTGCTGTTGACGGGCAAGCTGCTGGAGATGCAGCTGTGCAGACATGCGAGATGGAATATCCTGGATCTGCTGGGACTGGAACTGGTAGTCTAGGGACTCTACAGATACCTGTCTCTGTAGAAGGGGTGACTGTGGCACCTACAATATATATATATATGTAGAAAAAATGATTGCAAACACAGGAGTAAAGCATATGAAGATGGATTCATATCCAGACAGCAAAACATATTTATATATAATATCAGCCAACCATATTAATCATGTTGTCCCTGTGATTAAATAATGCAGAAATCCCAAGTTTGTTTATTTTTTCACCACAAGTATTCAAATCACCAGTCAACAATTCTTTCCTAAGGATATCTTGCATTTCTTGGCTAATTTTACCATCAAAAATATAATTGTTACTTCAAAAATGGATTAAAACTACTACAAAAATATAAACCAATGAGAGAAACTTTTCTCTTCTATGGTGTTTACAAATATATGAGTGAACATGCCTGTGGTGATTGTGGCACAGAGCCTGACTGGTTGTGTTGCTGGTGCTGTTTTAGAATGTCCTGGAACTGTTGCTGTTGTTGCTGAAGCTGACTTTGTTGCTGTTGCTTGAGGTGCTGGTCCTCCAGTTGTTGTTTCAGCTTGGTCTGCTGTATTTGTTGCTCTAGGTGGTGTGTAAGTTGCTGTTTTTCTATCTGTAATTGCTGGATCTGTTGCTGTATCACCAACTGCTGTTTCTGAAATGAAAAAAAGATTGAAACAACTGATCATATAACTTTGCTCACAATCAAATACAAGAAATAACTCCTCTTTCAACAACATAGGATTATGTACTTGGGAACATACACCAGTAGGTAGTGTCCAACAACATCAGAAATTTGGGACTCAATCACAACAGTTAGCAAATCACTTGAAACTCATGGAAAAGAGCATCAATGTACTTAGGCAGATTTTCTCAAAGTTATCTTTCTTTCATAAAATATCACCACGATAGTGACCTTATTTGTATATGTGATACCTGTTATAGCTACTGTATCCTACTTATACATGTGATACCTGCTTAAATCCTCTACTGATTGTGTTATAAGAACCTGAAGAAAATGTTCTAAAAATTAATTGTACATGAGATACCTGTTATAACAAACTCAACTGTACATGTGATACCTGCTGTAACTACCCTACCTGTACATGTGATACCTGCTGTAACTAACCTACCTGTAAATGTGATACCTGCTGTAACTACCCTCCCTGTAAATGTGATACCTGCTGTAACTACCCTACCTGTACATGCGATACCTGCTGTAACTACTCTACCTGTAAATGTGATACCTGTTATAACTACCCTAACTGTAAATGTGATACCTGCTGTAACTACCCTACCTGTACATGTGATACCTTCTGTAACTACCCTACCTGTAAATGTGATACATGCTGTAACTACCCTACCTGTAAATGTGATACCTGCTGTAACTACCCTCCCTGTAAATGTGATACCTGCTGTGACTACCCTTCCTGTACATGCGATACCTGCTGTAACTACTCTACCTGTAAATGTGATACCTGTTATAACTACCCTACCTGTAAATGTGATACCTGCTGTAACTACCTTACCTGTACATGTGGCACCTGCTGTAGTTGCTCTTGTTGTTGGTGGTTCTGCTGCTCCAGGTGTTGCTGCAGCTGGTGTTGCTCCATTTGTATCTGCTGTATCTGTTGCTGTAGCTGTTGCTGCAGCTGCTGTTCCTGCTGCTGTAACTGCTGAAGCTGCATCTGTTGTTCCTGTAGCCGAACAAGTATAAATCGTACATAAATGCTAAGCAATACAATAACAATTGTCTCACACTTCTTTATCGGTATACTTTGAGAGTTATCTTTTTTTTAAACTCTCATCATCAATTTGCTCTCAATCAATTAATCTTCTGTCATTTTGTTCAGGCTTTCTAATCTAATATTGAGTCATCTTTGATTAAGATAGAATTTTAAATTGTGCAGCTTCAAGTGCATAAAAAATTAATATACAGAAGGATACATGCATGGAAGGGCATGTGCAAATATGGCCTAATTAAGCAAAAGGCAGCCACTTTATGCAGTGTTCATATTGACCTCATATATTCATTAGCGAAAAAGTAAATAATAAAAAATCAATGAAAAAACCAACTGAAGCAAAATTTCACATGCTTTTTTTTTCAAATTATTCAAGAATCAGTGTTGTTACATCTCTTATAAGAAAAAAGATGTGTTTTTGCTGGTATCATTTCAGCTAAATGTAACATAAAACAGTAAATACTGCTGACTAGACTCTGTCAATAATAAACAGCTGTGTTTGGTTATGTTTTGAAGACAAAGAATCATTAGTGTAAATACTATTACAACTTCAGTACATAACTACAGCTCATACATGAAAGGAAACCTAAGAGAACTCCTTTATTGACAGGTTCTAACCTACCTACCAAGAAATCCTAGTGTTTATGGTTCTCTAGAGTCCTATGATTTTCTGTAAAATCAATAAGTATCCCAGATTTTTTATAGGTCAGCACTGCCTACGAGCAGTGTATCAAATAATAGAATCACTCGTTAAATGCAACTGTCATCTATAGGTCACATTCAATGGTTATAGTCAATTACATACCACAGGTCTAAAGAGACTACTTTCAGACTTACGAATCATAAAACATACATATATCTCACAGTCACGTAATACAGCTGTAAGAAAAAAAAATACCATAAGATAATTGCCATGTTTTTATAAGTTACTTCTGAAAAAACACTTCATGTCACTTCCACAATATTTTATTGATCTGATTAGCTAGCAACAAGTTTAATTTCAATCTGGTTATTTTCTTTCCTTCATTTTGCATTCATTCAAGTTCAATTCAGTGGAGTAATTTTGATATGACCCCAGGTAATTTTCTCAAAGGACTCATTTGGCAAAATTATGTTAGTTTAGTCAAAATACACTATGTTTTTACTGTTCAGTCAATATCACATCATGATATTCAATCATTACATTCTAATATATGTTGTAAATTTGTGATTGGAGAAAGGGAGTGTGAACAGATGAAGCCGAAAATGTCACATCCTGTCTGAAGTCCTTTCATAAAATGTTTTGTAATTAAATAGCTCAAAATATCCCCAATATAACGTGTTACATGTTTTGTTAAATTGAAAAATGTTGATAAGGTATGAACGCCCCTGTTCCCATGCATAGAAGTACAGCCAAATCTGCCATAGGGAGGCAATAAATAAGGTCACATATGACAGGTGGTCTTTTAACACGGTGCATTGAAAAAAAAATTAAAAAACTCAATAAATTCATTAATTGTGACAAATAATCCTAGTATTAAACATTTATTATAATACAGTCTAACATGAAACTTCAATCACTATGATATTTTTTTTCTGATCAGATTTGAATTCATGTGCTTTCATCCCAATTGTCTCTATTTGATATCTGGGCTGTTCCTTGTGACACTAGTTATCAGCTAGTTATTGCCTGTGGCACCCTTAGGTAGCCAGTCCCACCTTTCATCTCTCTATGTCAGTAAACAATAGAGATAGTCACCTGCCCATGCCACTTATAGCACATACAGTTACAGTCACAGTTACATAATTAAGACTTATAATAAGACTCAAACATTTAGAACAAAAAGGGTAAATGTACAATACACACTGGCTGCAGACTTTTTTAACAGCTATTTACTAAGCAGCCATAATTTTGTGAATATTCCATGATTCTGATAGCAGCCTGTGGTTTATTAGATTAGAAATTTCTCTCATTCAGCCAGTCATGTGTTCAAATAACCATGAATTGCCAGCTATGCAGCAATAAATCCAGTTTGACATCTCATGTTCCTGCCACATGAGCATGGTGCCAAAAATAGGTAGATCCTCACACCAATGTCATATTTACAATTTTGTAGTGATTAATTTCCTATATGATATTTTCATTCAGATCAAAGCACATACAGAGGAACTAGTTAAGGGATTACCAAATTAATTAGAGAATTGCATCATTTCATTTGTGAATAAATTGCTTGGGTAGCTAGACAATGGGACATGTAATTGTCATTTGGTCATCTAAGCATTTCACAAGGTGAAAGGTTTGCCTGTGCACACATCAGAATTTGTTAAATTTACAGAAAATGTCAGCTTTGACAAATGACTTGATAAGATGTATAACTTCATGTTATAACACCATAACATAAATATACCAGGTACTCCAAATCTCTTGCAAGATTCTGAATGGGATAGGATCATGTTGCAGATGGCCACAGGATGGAAGAAGACAGTTTGCATGGGCTTTATTTCCACCACAAATAAAAATGCTCACATATTCTTGAGCAAATACTACACTTGACCAAGGCACTTTGAGTAAATAACCAATTATAGAACTTTCCAATTCTCCAAAGTGATACCCGATAACTCATAGTGAAACATTTCATTATTGTATAAGGGATGGGTGTTAAAAACGCTGGCTTCTATTTTATATCATGAACAATGGATTAACAATATGATAAATATATTAAACAAAGCGCTCAGATTTTGTGCGGTGCAATTCCGTACTTTTGCATTTTTATTATACTTTTTTATCCCAGTAAACTCTATGTTTAAGGACCTGTTATTGTATGTCATCACCGAGTAACATTTTCAACCGTTCATTGAATGAGGGTATCTTTCCATGCATTTTCAAAAGGGCTAATGTTATTCCTATTTTTATATCTGGTAAACGTAATGAAATTTCTAATTACAGACCAGTATCTCTACTTCCTATTTCATTTTAATTTTTTTTATAAATCTGCTTATATGCGTTGAGCAACACAGTTTTTTTTCCAAAAAGGGGTCTACTGTTGCATGTTTCACCTATCAGATTTCCAAGTCTTTGACTAAAAAGTAGAATTATAAGTGGTATATACTGATTTTTCAAAGGCTTTTGACAAAGTGAATCATAAATTATTTTGCACAAGTTAAAATCATATGTTGTAAAAGGTAGCATGTTAGATTGGTTAACTACTTATTTGAAAGACAAATTCCAGCATGTTACTACTGACAGTGGTGCAACATTTGATACTTTAGCCTAAACTTTTCCTTATTTTCATCACTGAATTGCCATTTGTGGTAAAATTTTCTAAAACGGACGTGCGTAAGAACAGTCAGAGTGTGAGCAGCTACAGAGCTGTATGATAGTGTATGACTGGCGTTCTGTGTGGAAAATGAGAGTAAATCTGAAGAAGTGTTTCCATGTCATTTTTACAAACAAGAAGAAATGTATAAAATTTAATTACAGTATGAACGTAAAGGACCTGAAGAATGACACCTGTGTGAAAGATCTTTGTGTCTGGCAGATTTCTACTATGAGTTTTAGTACCCACATTAGTTGTACTGTTTCCAAAGCAATGCCAATGCTTGGTTTTATAAAACGTACGTGTACAAGGTTTATATAAATATCTGTTTTAAGGTCTTTATACATAAGTCTTGTCAGGAATCAGTCAGAATACTGTTGTCAGATCAGGTCTCCTAACCAAACATCTTTAATTCACCAAGTGGAAATTGTCCAATGCAAGTTTTTGAAATCTTTATGTCTTAAAGCACACGTCAACTACAATTCAGAATTGAATTCCGTGTCTTATGCTAATACTTGAAGACATTTTTGTCTTCCTAGCCTCCAAACACAGATGGGCATTTTTAGGCTATAGATGTCTTTCTTTTCAAATGTGTAAATGGTGCTTTTGACTGCCCATATTTAATTAATCAAATGTGTTTTTTAGTCCCTGGTCCTAATCTGTTGTTATTTCACTTAAATCAGAAAAGTCGAACAGACGTTAGAAAGTACAGTGTTTTTAAACAGGACTTAACGCAATTTTAACTCTTTTGATTTTGCACCAGACTGTGCTAAGTTTTGTTAGTCTCTTGCAGAGTTCAAGAGACATTTAATGAATAATTTTCATCATTAAGTCTATTTGCATTACCCAAGTGCATCTATTAGTCTGTATTACATGCATAACTGACAGCAATATTATATACTTGTGTTTTATTGTTGTGATCCATTCTGTAAATGGACGGTTGGGTCTGCAGAAATGGAAATAAATAAATAATAAATAAATATCAGAGATCTGACATATGTATCAATTTGTACATTAAATATCAAAGATCATATCTGTCACCACAATTTTCTAGTCTTGAGTGGATGTCATCAATGACAGTGAGTTCCACAATATTAAAACAAAATCCAACATCATCAGGTTTTACATGTATGATGTATTAGATGTTTGGCTTTGGAATTTCATGAAATTATGCTGGCACCTGTCTTAGATAGAGATTTTGCTTAATATCTAGCTGAGAAATCTCTGTTTGGCCAAGATCATTATCCAACACCTACATGCACATACAATATTCTTCAGTAGGAAGAAATAAAACTATAAAGATTGGTTCAATCAAGCATGAGGTATATTCAATCTCCAGAAAATGAGCTAAGCACCTACAGAAACAGTAACCATGTCAGTTTTCCCAACAGAATATGGACACAGTATATCCTAATGCCAATATAGAGGTACAATATAACCCCCACCCCAATCCACTCCTCTAAATCAACTTCTTGGAGGTAAGCTAACAAGAGATCCAAGATGGTTCTTGGCTATCACTATTGTTTGGTCTTTATTTTCTTTCAAAGTTGGTTCTTTTCCCTTTTCTATCTTTTCCTTTATTGTTGCACTTGATTACATGAAATCATATAATTGTCAAATCCAAGATGGTCACCCGTCAGCTATTTTGTTTTCCTGATTAAAATTAAGGGCACAAGAAGGGATCAAAGGGAATCTATATAAAATTTGAGAAATATATTAGTGATAACAAACTTTCATTGCCAAAAACAAAGACTGCCACCTGTCAACTATTTGGTTTTTTCAAAGTACCAAAAGCAAAAAGGGTTGAATAGCCCACCATTAGATGGTGGACAAAAAAACCAGAGTTAAGTGTAATGAATATTAGTATCTAATCACTTTATAGGCTATAATTACCATATTTTCCGGGTTATAAGCAACATCTGTATATAAGCCGCAGAGCCAGATTTTAGCAATTTTTTCCCCAGATGATCCACATATAAGTCACACCCTTTCTTACAATATGATAACCAATATTGTTGATGTTTGATATACCAGTAACAGATAACAGAAGGCAATTCTTATGAAGTGGTAGCTGTTCTGTTGACCGAAGTGTGTTGATATAACAGACAACAGAGGGAAATTTATCAAGATCGTCAGTGAAACATTTAATCTAGTTTGCAAATAAATTATAGACAGATAATCCTTTATTTTACTGTTGTATATCAAAAAAAATTTTAAAAGCAAATACTGAACTTGTTTGGCTTGGGTGCCTGAACAGATTGTGTTCGCACAGATGTTATGTACGGTATATTAAACAATCTCTCCATAACTTCTGTACTCCTAAATATTAACTAGGCCATTGCATGCTGACCAAATTCTTATAGTCCCATATTATCTCTTCTTGTGAGTTACACAAAGCCTTTCATATTGTAAACAAGCATGACGGTCGTTCTAGAATTTTACCTATAACCTGATGATCCCCAGATGCAAAGGGCTATTGTAAACTTCCGCTATGGCTTCGAGTTATTCTTGTAATTCATATCAAAAGGTGATTAATTAAATCCACAAGAATGTTATTATTATTTCAATTTTCAAATCATCCGGTATACGATTGCATATGACAGTTCAAGACAATCTGTTTTAGTCACAAATATGTGACAGGCAGGTACACATTAGTGAACTCCGTGTCGTCTGGTACTGGTGTACTCTTAGCACGCTTGGTGTTTTTTTGTTTTGTTTTTTATTCTGCTAACTATTTTTCTTTTTCGTCCACATATAAGCTGTGCCAGTATATCAGCCACACTCCCCATACACGTGGTAAAAGGTGTGGCTTATAACCCAGAAAATATGGTATAAATATGCCAGTGGGTTTTTCTTCTTTCGATTGCAAAAATTACATGAGAACTATTTTTACTCTGTATTGGCCCCATACATGGAAAGCAAAAGTTTTGATGAAAATGAAAGATTAGTTATATGATGGGATAATTCAATGCAAACAGCAGTGTTGATAAATATACATGCACAATGCTGGCATTAATTTCAACTCAATGTTGGACAATACTCACACATGCAGGCTTAGCATCAGACTTAGATTTCTGTTCAGACAGGGAAAAAACACACATGTACATAATCTATCTAGACACGACTTAACGTTACAAAACAATCATGCAAAGCTTTCAAGAGGACATTGTTGGGAACAGGAACATCACACTTTTGAAATGTTCATGCTCCACCAGTAAATTGCTTGTGGTAACAGTATACTTCTTCAGGGAACTTTGGAATATAAAACATGTTCTATATAACTATATTGTACAGAACCAACATATATGCAGAAATTGCAGTTATGTTCTTTGTGTCTAAGTACATCTACATATCAAATTTCATCAAAATTTGACAATTTTAGTTTCCATGCTAACCATTTAAAAAGCAAGAAGTCAGTGGCACCCTGCTTTTGTAATCATACATAATCCTATCAAGAGTTTTCAAAAATGATTCAAAATTCTCCACACAGTTCAAGTGAAAAGAAAGAGAGAAAAATAGAAAATTAAAAGAATAAGGAACAAAGTGAATGAAATATTGTTTTCCACTGCACCTGTTTGAATATCCCTAACTCACACTAACTTTGCTGAATTCATCACCTGGTGAACTGCCCGGGTAATTTTGAGAAAGGGCCTCCAAAGTTGCTAAACTTAGTGTATTAGAACCAGATCCAAAAAATGAATTTGGATTTACAGATCTAGAAACATTCCAGGGTGACCTTGATTATTTCAATGGCTTCAGCACTGACACAAACTAACAAACAACAGCGACTTTATGGATACATATCTAAGGCCATTATATAAATATACAAATTAGAGATGTCTAAAACAGGTTTCCTCTCAAAACTTTGAAAGACTGTCCAAAAGACACTGACACACATGTGAATAAGATATTTAAAGATACCAAACTCTGAAAACTGAATTATAATATAGGCATTTCTTCCTTCCAGGAACACTTAGTGATGCTAGGGGCTTATGTTGAAAATCTGAGGTTTCAACTGTGAACAGTCCTGTATAAGGTCCATAAAAAATCTGATGGAAACCTATCATGCTATCTGTGGTTCAGGTCTAAGCTACCTTTTTGTACTGACCTGTAACCTATGACTTTATCTTCAATGCTAACCTGTCATCTGTGTACATTTCTACAGATACTTGCAGACACTTACAGAACCTGCTTGCAATACAGAATTTATGGTTCTGACCTTTGACCTATGATGTGTTCTGTATTACATTACTAACTATGTTCCATTCCTTGATACTAGATTTACAGAACATGTGACACAAAATTGACCTCTTACCCAACCAGTTATATGCCCTACATGTTACTAGATATGCCTTACTGACCTGGATCTGCTGCTGCTGTTGGTGTTGCTGGAGTTGCTGTATGACAGAGTGTGCAATATCCAGAGGTGTGTCAGGTGTGGCTACATGGGACTGTAGGCTAGGGAACACAGGACCTGTGATACAAACAAAACCCTCCATGAATTGTCTGGGTAAAAATTACCTTTTAAATTGCAAATTTAATCAAAAGTCTAAATATCACATTAAAGCATCAAAACAGGTTAAGTTGTGAGAATGTCAAGAATTAAAGATACCTTAGTGACTGCATATTCCAATCAGTATGAGATAACAGGGTACCAAAGTAACTATTGTAGATTATGTTATAGGTACAAAGTATTTACAATTTCTTAATATATTGTATACACTACATTTGGTAGTTGACAACGAAAGTTCATTTCAACACCTGACTAATAAAAGGCAACTATTTGACTGGACGAATATTTCCCAGTAAAATATATGCTGGTTCCAACATGTTACCTCACCTGCTGCCTGAGCAGTTACTGGGGAAGTAATAGTCTCTAAAGACTTCTGGAATGCCTGTGATATGGTCGGGAGAGCAATGTCTATAGGCTCTGAGGAAACCTTTGAAACTTTTGATCCCATCGAGGTACTATTAGCCTTCTTACTTTTCTTCTCTTCTTTATTGATATCCTTTAACATAACAAAAATCAGAACGTAAAAGATCATCCATGTACTAGTAACATCCAATTTAATATGTTCCTAACATATCTATTGTCCAAATTCATTTTTTCTTACTTTAATCATGCAATTACATATGTAAAATACCCCACCTTCTGTTCCACCATGGTGATGACAATGCTTTTTACACAAGACCAACAAAATATGAAGAATTCTAAAACTTAATTCTTCACTTTCTTACAAAATGTCTTTAAACAGATAAAAAGTCACTATCAAGTTACAATATTTTCATCTACAATATATTATAAACTTCTTTACTCGTATCAGAAGTTAGACTCAAAATCAAATGGCATATCTACTGATCTGTACATAAAATATACAGAATACCAAAATAGTTTATGTACATTCAAAATTAAATAGTAAATTCAATACCTTCTTGAAGTAGCCTCCGTGAAGTCGCATATGGCCATTTAAGGCTGGAATATTCTTAAAACGTCGCTCGCAAATACTACACACCACTGGTTTGGCAGAGTCATCTCTGTGGAAAGCAAAATGTTTAAAAGAAAAAAACATGAGATTTCAAAAGTATCTATATTCCAAATATTAGAGCGTCATATTACAAATATAAACTTTTAAATAACAATATTTCAACCAAGAAATTATATATATAGAACCTACCCATTGAGTTTATCGTTGGTGATGGTGTTGGGAGTGAGAGGGTTGGCAGACCAGATGCGCTGGGGACTGGCAGGCCCTGGGTGGTTCATCACAGGGCTGATGGGGCTGACCTGCTGAAGGTAGCTCGGTGATTGATCCTCAATGGTCCCCTGAGGACTGTGAGAGTTGGACTGCTGCTCTGCTCCAGCTTGGTTTGCTGCTGCAGTAAGGATATGCTGCACCCGCTCTTGCCAGTTCTGTACCTGTTGGGAGTCAACTGGTAGTCCTTCAGGGAGCTGACCAAGTGCTAAGGATTGCGACTGTGTCACCACATGCGGCTGGATGGTGATCTGCTGGGGACGCTGCGGTTCATTTGTAAGGTGAGGCTTAATACAACAATAAAATGTTAGTTCTAACATTTTGAAATGACATACTTTGAACAGCAACAGGTGAAATTTCACTATAAATAGGCAAAAAGTGAAAGAAAAACATGAAATATATCTGGTCAAACATTAATACAACAATATTTACCACAGCCTTCAACATGTACTTTCCTGTGAATCAGTCATAGTTAAGCTCATGAAATGTATAATGCCAGAAACATAAAAACTATGGAAATTTTAAAGGTGTACTTCAAAATCCTCTGACTTTAACATGGATATTGAAATCCTCCCGACTCATCAAAATGTCTTTACTTTTTTTAGATTTGATCAAGTTTCCAAAGCTTTTAAGGATTAATAGTTCTTTTGCATATTCAATCATGTTTTCAAAGGTAATATGCCTTAAAAGTTGTGATGCACTCATAAACACAAAATCTTTCATAAACACAAAATCTTTCAAGTATGTAACAACACCTATTAACTACTGCAAATTATTTATATTTAATCTAACACATGAAAAGAGTCAATCGTGAATTCAACTCTCTCGCCATTATTTGTACAAATCACTTGATGACATCCTTGTTATTCCCTTGCTAACTTAATTTTACTTCTGTTGAATTTATATATACCAAATGCTATTATCACAAAAAAATATGCTAGACATATGTTACTTTCAAATTCAAACATCTTCAGAACTTTTGAAAGATATCCCCCGCATTATTGACTGCAGAACTTCACAAAATTGCATCATTCAAATATTCAGCTATAGGTTAGAGGAAGGAGGTCTAACACATGTGCCACAAAAGAAACAATTATGAATCACTAATGCTATTTTAGTGTTGGAATAGTACTAAACTATTTAGATTAACAGAGCAAATAAGGTGCGAAATATCTATTTTATTAACCTACCAAATAAAAAATAGGAAAACAATGACTTTCCCACTGAGACAACTATTCTGTTTAATTAGTATAAACATGTTACTAAGTGCGACATTAAACACTGCACAATAAATTTGGCCTATTGAAGTCTTAACATCTTACCGTGAAAGCAAGTTGTTTCACTCTTCAAACTTAAAAGCATATGAAGTGTTCATGTTCATTTCTTTTGTCTACGCACTAGCTTGTATTCAGGTAATATAATACAGTATGTACACACATGTATCACATGACTAAATCACTTTTCAGGTATAGTCACTTATATAATACAGTATGTACACACATGTATCACATGACTAAATCACTTTTCAGGTAAAGTCACTTGACTCTCATACACAAAACCGCTGCCAATATGAAGCTATCGCTTGCCAATATAGAAGCTATCAAGAGTCCATGTCTCTAATAGCTTGCTTATTGTTGCAAATATAAAGTAATTTCTAAATCGGTATACACAAATTCATGCATTCAGGAATATGTTTGCAGAGGTGAATTTGCGAAATGAAGTTTTCACATGACCGTAAACTTGCTTACCTGCTGCAAAGTAATGTCATGCGAAGTCTGAGCAGAGGATGGCACTTGGTCAAACTGGAAGAATGCTGTCTGCTGTTGGGGGTTACCGTTGTTGCTGTATGAGGGACTGGTCATTGGGGTAGAATTGTTACTGTACTGAGGTGTGGAATAATGACTGGAACAGCCATTGCCATCCTGCGAGGAATGGCTGTTACTTGCTCCAGATATAACTGATAAGGTTGAGGGCATACTCTGTGTTTCTGTGGTAGTGGCTCTGAGTGAAGCTGTGTTGGAGGCTGCTGCAGCAGCTATGATAGCTGTTGCATTGGAGGCCACAGCTGCAATGGCTGTCTGGATCTGTTCTGGTGACTGATTGTGGTGATTCTCGAGGTGACGCCGTAATGAACGTGCATCACAATAACTCTTTTGGCAGCTGTCAACATTACACTCATATGGTTTTTTGTCACGATGGGTCATTAAGTGACCATTTCTGTAGAGAATGCAACAATTTGAGTCAGAAGATCATGATTTCCTAAGACTGATTAAGATTTAACAATAGCATTTAGAACTATCAGGAGTCAGAACCCAATATTTTGCATTGAAACAATTACCAGTAAATTGAAAACTTAAACATGATTCTCAATGTATACATGCTTACATATAAACTTCCCTCAGTACATCAGTTCATTTTAACCTTGAATACATATTTACTTTTCAGTCAATGCAAAACAGAGCTTCATCCGAGTGGCTGATGACCAATTGCAACATTTTCCCAAATGGTGAAACAGATGATATTTCAGGAACAAATGAAGAGTTTGATAACCAAATGGTTCCATCAAGCATCTATCAGAAACATCATTGATGAGACAGTGTATTCAAAGAACATGTTAATCTGGCCGAGAGATTATTGAAATTATGTCCCAGAATACTAAAAGTTACATTTCTTCAAATTTTGAACTTGGGCTATCCTTTCCTATAAATTTTCTATCCAGTACAGATATACTTACAGGTGGTCCTGCCTTTTGAAGGCTTTCTGACACAAATTGCACACGTATTTGCGTTCATCACTGTGGGTGAGTCTGTGTTTGGCCAGGGCACTGGAATTGTTGAAGGTTTTATTGCACGACGGACACTGCATGGTCTGACGGCCTGGGGAACCTTGACTTTTTGGTTGTTTGTTTTTAGATTTCTTTTTTGAGCTGTCCGACTTGTTGGAGTCTTTGAAAATATAAAGCATCGAACATCACAAACAAAATTCATCAAGTTAAAAAACCTTCTTTTGTATTATTTGAAATCTGTATAAAAGGATCCTGTGGAGGAATGCATGAATAAACGGCAGTAAGGCTGCAATGATCATCATTAGTGATCAGATTTTCACAACTAATTGCTGTTAATCTATAACAGAATGTATTAATCACTGTCATTTGCATTACTGTTTATGTTGCTTTCCATATTTTACATTTAAAACTACACCACTTTTACTACAAAGCCTTAATTTCATAATTCCCTACCAAGTACCAGTCTCACACACTCTGATGTAGTTATGATATGTATTGTCCCCGACATAGCAATGATTCCTTGAATGTCTGTTTGCATTAACATTATATCAATATAGTGATGCTAATTTCGGAATGAGTAAGATACTAAAACACAGACTTAAATGTATTCAGGAAAATTATCAAAACAACCATGTAAAGAAGACATTTACAGCATGATCAGCACATAACCTACATGTAGGAGACTCCTGAAAACCTGAAAAACTTAAATTAAACATCCATATCTGTGCCATATTTTTTTTACTATACATATATTAAATATGTAAAAGTATTGAGGGAGGATGGCCAATATCGTTATTGATCAAATTTCACTATGTGTTTCTATGATTTATATAAGGTGTTTTTAAGTTCTTTTCTCCTTTACTTTACTCGAGTGATTTATGCCTTCCGGTGTATTATCAGTGTTGGATATTGTGTGAACAACGTTTCTCTTCATGTAAAAGTTGCCATGCATATCCATATTGAATAATTCAGAATGAAATGTCCAATGTTTCCTGTACAATGAATTCATTTTGTTCTGTATCAGTAATTTTGGGGTTTCAGATATTGGTGCTCTGAACTGTTGCTTTTCCGGTGGGAATCGTTCAAATTTTAAGAACCCACTATATCGCTTAGTATTGGGTTTATTTAAAAATTTCAGAATTAGGGTTCTAGACTCACCTACACAATTCCTACAAAAAGTTACTGTTGTACTTTGTTTGCAAGTACAATTAACTCTGACAAAAGTTCATCAAAACATATTTCCATAACTTCTGGTTTGGAGAGTACAATTAATGCTTTGGGGATTTCGATTCATGAATTGTCTGGACTAAAGATGTCCAGAATATTGGAATATCCACTGTACTTGTTTGTTATCAAGAAGTCTAGTAAAGGTGCAAAGACTGAAATCTTGGTACAAATCCAGCAAAATGAAAACAAAACATGAACAATGGCAATGCAGAATATTAATGTATTGATAAGTATGTAACCTGGTGCTGACAGTCATCTAATTCAAACTTTTGTGTCAAATGCTTGGTTTATCAGAGTTCATGTGTGTCAACTTATCACATATAGTAAACTAGGTCATAAATGTGTGTAATAAATATTTGTATTATGAAATACATCTTTTAAAAGTTGAAAACACAACAATGTATCTATCAGCTCTCCTGCTGCCCTACCTTTAAGTAATTAATTAAATTCAAGCTAATTACATTTTACAATATAATTGTTGCTGCCATACAAAGTACATGTATACTATTTACCATTATATGAATGATGAAAAAAATACAAGAATCACAACGTAATTTTTCATTTTATTCACTATCCTGTGTCAAGACTAGAAAAAATTATCCCATATTTCATTTTTACCTTCAGTCTACCGGTAGTATTTATTAAAGACCTAAATGTTCTGCTCTCAATACACTAATATGATCAGTAATCTAGAAAAAAAAGAAAATATGAGGCAACCTGGAGGTTAAACTTGACAGACTTTGGATAGGAATCCTAGCCACAGTCTAGGATTTTGTCTGAAACCAACCGCCAGTTTTCAACTTTGAATTTTGATGACACATTCAAACAATGATAAATGAGATCTGATAGATTTTTGAAGATGATTTACTTGGTTTCAGAAAAAATCATTTGGGCATTTGTAACTAATAATGACAACAAACCATCATAATTGGATATATTTACATGTACAGTGAACCTTCAAGAAGTTTTAACAAAATTAAATATTGTAGAAACCGTTTGAATTGTACAAAACTATGCTTCTCAAAATAAATTAAGAGTTTGAACTATCAAAATCACAAAGAAGGATCTAAAGGGCTTTGGTCATGATGTTGCCTTTTGTTAGATTCTGTTACATCTTAATCCTAAAAGGCACCCAAATGGAGTTGCTTAAATAGGTCCTGATACCTGTTCTTAGGCAGTCGAAAATACTTGTTACACATAAGTGAGAAATTTAATGAGGTAACTAGTCATGCTGTACTTGTTTTATTTATTCCCAATTCTACAAACTCAAGGGTTCATTTACAGAATGGATCACAACAACACAAGTATAAAACATCGCAGTCAGTTATGCATGTAACATAGACTAATAGATGCACTTTGGTACTGCAAATAGAACTAGTGATAAAAATCATTCCTTAAATGTACATTTAACTATGCTAGAGATAAACAAATCATATCACAGCCTGGTGCAAAATCAAGAGTAAAAATTGCACTGAAACCTGTTTAAAACACTGTACTTTCTAATGTTTATTTGACTTTTCTGGCAGTAAAACTGATTAAAGTGAACACATTTGATTGATTAAATATAGGCAGTCAAATCACTATTTACACATTTGAAAAGAAAGACATGGTATAAAAATGCTCATCAGTGTTTAAAGACTAGGAGGACTAAAATGTCTACAAGTGTCAGACTAAGACATGAAATTGTAATTGACATTTGCCTTAAAATATCAAAAATTTGCACTGGACTATTTCCTCCACTTGGTGAATTAAAGATGTTTGGTAAGGCGACCTGATCGGACAACAGTATTCTGACTGATTCCTGACAAGACTTATGTATAAAGACCTTAAAACAGATATTTATATAAACCTTGTACATGTACAGTTTATAAAACCGAGCATTCGCATTGCTTTAAAACAGTACAATTAATGTAGATACTAAAACTTATAGTAGAAGTCTGCTGAACACCAAGATCTTTCACACACATTTCATTCTTCAGGTCCTTGCTCTTCAGACTGTAATCAAAACTGATATATTTCTTCCTATTTGTAAAAATGACCTGGTAAAACTTCATTACTAGAGTAAAATTGTCCAAACTCAGTTATTTATTTAGGTTATAATCATATTAAGTACACATCTTTTGATGTCACTTCCTATATTTAGTACTTGTAATTGTAGTAATTGAAGACACTGCCATGAAGTGCAATATGCTGGTGCTCAAGAAAAATTTCATTCTTCATTACTCAATCAATATTAACATAAGTAGTAAAAAGATGTGTTGTGATGATGTCACTAACTATATTGATTATTTTAAAATATATCTTCTGAAGAGTTTTTAAGATTCTAACTGTTACAGATTATCACTTTTAGATAGACTGCCAAGAATAGATATCAATGATCCCATAATTCTGTGCATAATGCCATATTTTCACTACCTCAGGGAATCCTCCGCAAACAAGAGCAATGCTAGTTTGTGATTGATACATATCTCAATCTGAATATTTTCATAACCACTTAGTCTGTCAATTTTGGTAAGATTTTAGTATATGTAAAATCTCCTTAACATGTTCCATTTGTCAATGGGAAAATAAGATAATGAATGTGACGTTAGCAATTGAAACTTTTTTGGACATCTAACCCCAAAAGTTAACTTTCTGATGCAGCAAACTGACTTATTTCTTACATATATTTTTTGAAATTTGTACTCTTTGTTTTTCCCATATCCACAGTGATTTTTGTTAACTCTCTGCAACTTCAATATAAGCCGACTTTTGATACACCACCTTTCATTGGCTGCTATATTAGTGTTTATTTTTAGTGGATAATCAGATGTTGTGGAACATGGCAAAGTGAAAACCCAATTTCAGAACATTTCATAGTCATCTCGCCTGTGCTCAAAGCAATTTAAGCAATAATGATTTGAAGGCAGATAAAAATGTCGATATTCTAATATGACCAAATGTATTTTCAGTCTTCATTCCATACCTTTATGTATCCTGAACAAATCATTTGGGAAACATGATTACTTTATAAGCAAAGAAGTAAGCCGAACCATGAAACTTTTCGGGGCTCATGTGATATTTTCTACATTCATTTAATCCACACTTCCTTTTGTCAAACTTGAAGTTCAAATAAGTTATTTTAGCATCCTAAGCTTTGCATCCGAATTGTGTTCACATAAATTTGGAGATAGCGTCATTCATAATGACGACATTGACATGTCATGCTTTGGTGTCCCATGTAAAAAGAAACAAAACAAACACAATTTATCTTAAATTATGGTTCATGCTTGATTTTTTCTTATCAGATTTTTTGACAAACCATCTGTTTCATTTTTAAATAGATCCCAGTACACATAGCCAAGATTCATTTTCAAGTTCGGTAGCATGTCTGAAAACTTAGTGGCATGCATATGGCACCCACACACACATACCCTAACCATTGCAACAAGTTCCAAGTGACAAAGGGTTGAAAACAAATCTTAAAGCTTGAATTGCAATAGCCAATTAAAAACAAACGCACCAGCCTAACCTGAACCTAGCTGGACCTTACAGGTAAGCAGGTTGATGCCAGGTGTGAAATGTTGACTAGTAAGGCAGTAGCAGTGAATCCTTAGTTCTTGTTCTCACTAAACTGTGACCTATCTGTGGTTATTTTTTGTGATAGCCATCAAAATGAAGTTATATTGAGCACTGCCCACATGAAAATAAGTGACATTATCAGATTCTGGATTACATAGCATATTTAGGGAAAAAATTAGTCTTTGAAGAAAATGCTATGTCAACTGGAAAGTGACATAAAGTGATTTCCACTGTACTTGATTGTCTCTTTGCAACAGTATGCATGCATGACACATTTTGAAAGATTTTTTACAGAATCAAACTGCCATTAGGGGTCACTGGTATATATTTCCACCAATCAGAAATCTAGGATTGATAGAAACATCTAGTTCCAAAGGCTGTGACATTAGTTTGAAACTGTAACAGTGTTATGTTTCACCTAAAAAGCACATGTCTGCTCATATATTTTGGCGGAAGTTAGCATATGCAGAGAGCAGATTGAGACATAACTATGGATGAATGTTTTTTAAAATCTCTGTGACTCCTACAATTATTTATTTGACATATTAAAAAGGGACAGTCTTGACGTGATCATCTTATTAAAATGTGAAGTGAAACACTGTTGTCCTTTGACAATACACATGCCAAAATCCGGAGGTCCATATCTTTGGATTGCTTGAAAAACAGACTTGTTACAGCATGATATGAAAGGAAATACACAAAATCAATGCTAATTAAGTGGCATGTATGTGTATAATTTGGTAGTGTCAATTGCTTACAGTGGTCAATTATGGTCTGCTACCCACAGCATTAAACGTCAATAGTGACCACATGGAGCGATATTTCCGACACATATATCTTTATCAATAATTATAATGTGCAATTTCATGACATGTTCATATAGAATTGTAAGTAAAACAGGACTAGAAAGGGTTCCCATTATCATTAGACAGAAAATTATTGTTTTTGTTGAAAAAATCATGTGTTTGAGCTAACCACATATTTGAACAAACCAAAGGTTTATGGTATGATTTTTCAAGTGATTGTTACAAAACCCTAATTCTGCATCCTCTGAAGACAAATTAAGCACTATTACACCAACATTTCAATGACACATTTAAAATACTATAGTTTAGATATCAAAAACAATTAAACTGAAATACATTGCAGAGAGAGCAAATAATATATGATGTATATTTTATGTAACTTTTGCAAGTCTATGATGAATGTATGAATAATTTGCCGGTATTTGAAAGCATTTAGGAATTCTGAAACTGAAGCAAGACATATATGTCCATATATGTTGTGGTGTATCAGTAAAATTTGTTAGCTGAATTCTGAAATTGTCAAATGCAAAGGGTCAACTAAAGGCCAATGAAGGAATATCAGATATATCAAGTAATTAAATCACAGTCTGACAACTGATTCTTTGCAACTTGCACTATGCAGGTTTAAATAACTCACCTGGATTCTGCATGCCATCTGGGTCAATGACTGACCCAAGGTTACTTTCTCCTACAAATCCTGAGGCGGAGTCTGTGAATGGCTGGGGTGACAAGCCTTCCATACTATAGGAATCATTCACATTACCCTCCCCATCAAACAGGTCAGGCAGGTTCTCGGACATCCGGATGTTCCCTGGTGTTCCCATATTCGACAAAATGCCATCATCCAGGTTGGGCAAACAACTGTCAAAGGCACCTTCTGGTAACATTTCACTGTCATTATAGTTTATAGCACTCAGCATGGCATCCCCCGACTTTGCAGAGGGACGATAGTGTAGAATCTGGGAGGTGCTTGTTTGACTTGGTGTCCCTGGGCTAGTCTGTTCACCTCCATCTTGGAATTGGATGCCTGCAAGCCCAGGGACCCCTTTGTCATCTGTCACTGAATAAATGTCCACTTTGGAATCAGATTTATCCATATTTGATGAATGATCATCTGAAGCATCCTTGATGCCAACTCCAATAGGCAATCTGATGCCTATTTGGTTATCAGTAAAGGCATACACTGCTCCTCCTGAAGTCTGATGAAGGTTATGCAAGGAGTTGGATAAAGAAACTGGCAAGTTATCCACAATGGTCTGATGGAGACTACTACCTTGCTGAAACAAGGAGGGGTTTATCATAAGAAAGTTGGTAGTGCCGGCGCCTGACGCAACATTGGATTGGGGCGACTTAATGGCATTATGCTGGTCATGACCAGACATGACGAGGCCTGCTGCTGGCTGGTTGGCAGAATGGTGACCAAACATTCCAAGGAAGCTGGCTAGACAAGTATGTGAGAGTTGTCTCCCCTGTTAAGGCAGACCCATCTCACTGTATGGCTACATTTTGGCACAGGCAACATCTGTATTAAACCAAAAAAGACATTGTCACTCAGTACAAGACAAATTTAACAAATTTTTAAATGTAAACAAGACAATATGAATTACATGACAAATGCATAACATTTAGAATTTACTGTATGAAACTCTAAATTTTCAAATAATTGGAAATAGCTGAAATGCATTTTTAACTTTTAGAAAAAACGTTTTACTATTTTTAATTGCTGCATTCATTTTGTCTTGCATAATAATGTAATGGTAATGTTGATTTTCATTTTTAACATGGATATTCACTTCATCTAAGTATAGAACTTGCAGGGAAAATGGTAGTCATTCAATCAGGCTTTTATTTTTTCATGGGGTTATGAAACGGTTAACAGACAGAAAGGAATTCCCATAGAAACCACCTTTTATAGTGCTATTATATACCTAGTAAGTTTTATGAGTATTTAATGGCTCAAACAATTTGATTTGGGAATGGTAATACAATACAATTATGTAATACAATATCATATGACACTTGCCTTACGAACATCTGTCTATAATGGATACAGTACAAATATGTAAATGTTTTCTTTTTCTATATCTTTTAAAATGCAGGACATATACAATGTACATGCAACACATACTAAATATCTTTGCATTAAGTTAGAATGCTTCAGTTCAGGGCATCACAAATTGATTAACTGGTGGTATTGGCCACATTTCAAGTTTTGAATATTGAATGCATGAATCACTTTTTACTTATGATAATCCTCAAGACAACAGTTATAAAACAGGTGTTATTTGATTTAAGAAGTTGTTACACTAGACAAAACTATTATTGTCACTATTATTCATCAAATATTACAAGTAGCCCTTTGTAAAATATAGGTATATATCATGGATATGTCAACAGCAATCATGATCTAGACTAATCGAATCTGTAAACTACATGTGTTCAAACTGATGTAAATCTATGCTGAAGCCAGTGAAAGCTGACATAATGAACCTCATTCTAGGAAATGCCAAGGATGTTATGGAGTGTCAGCTTGAGACAAAACTATATCTTGTACACATACTATTCTACTACATTCTATTTCTCAGGTCCACAAGATGGCATAAAAGTTTCTCAGTTAGTATTATTCCAAATTTTTAATCCAAATAGATTATCTCCCTTTTTGAGTGAGAAGTCAGAAAAATTAATAAGATGTTACTTTAATTAAAACATCACTTGGCACCAAATGTCAGTTAAAAGATGTCAGGCAATACAGAAGAATCAGGCACAGTGTAGCATGTGAGATATTCCTGTCTCATGTACCAGAAACATACATATTCTTGTCAATACAATTGTTTTTTCAATATCAGTAATGTTAATCATAGAGATCCACTTTTGTATCCTGAATGAAGGGCTCCATTTTACAGACATTCTGATCAAATCAAAGTCTGTGGATTGACTGAATATTCTTTTATACTGATACCTGTAAAATATTTGTCATGCCAATACCCACCATGTTGTTTGGAATATTTCAATTTACACACCTACCATACTCATATTAAAAAATTTATGTAAATTTCAATTGGAGTTCCATCAAATATTATCATACGATTTTAATTCATTAAACACATTGTCTTGTTGATCTGTTTAAGTATTTATGTTGTCAAAGAACAAAAGTAATGTGTAAAATACCAAACCAATATACAAAGCCAAGTCTTAACAATACTGACGATTAATGTGACAACTTGTGTATACCACACACACAAAACATTGCAAAAGGTATATGATCAGTACATTTGTGATGATGCAAGTTTGCAAATTTCATGTAATATATAACAGGTTATGCCATTAAATGTTCATAAAGATCTGTTTCCCTATATAGAACTGATACAGATGTCAATAAAAACATTTTTGCTGAATTTCTAATGCTAGAAATCACGTATCTAGTGCGAGCATTAAATTGAAAGCCGCGTGGGTGGATTCCAAAGATATTTAAAGAGCCATTCAAGGAAAAACCTCAGTTGACATATCACAATTTCCAACCATCTGCACCTGTGATTTCAGGAAGTAATAGCTGAATCTGAAGCATCTACAAATTTGTACAACAATGAAGAATCAGCGAAAGTCTGAGACGCAACATTTGTTTCGTTGATATGGTTTAAATGAAGTAAACGTGTGTCATTTTCATGCATGTAATCAACACATGTGAAAGTTTTCTTTTGGGGGTTGCCTAGTTTCTAGTTGAGAGTTGTGACAATATACGGCGCAACTGCAAAAATGATCATTGCCATGGGCAAAAACAAAGTACGCAGTCTGCAAAAGCTCACCTCCCTGTTCGAATAAACCTCACAGAGGACAATCAGCATTTAACAAAATTCACAAACGTCATGGTTGTTACAGCTGAATTTCCGAAGTTGCTGTACGTATTTACTTGTGCCTCATTGCTTATTTATAAGCGGAAGGACATGCACTATTTTAAAACAATTTAGTTCTTGTACAAACTTTGTAAAACTAGATATGATTGTCATCAAATAAGCAAAATAATCAAAGAATGTATATTCTTTAATTCGTAGAATAGTTTCCCTCTTCAAATTTATTTGCAATTATGTATAGGTATGCTTTGAAAAAGTAGGCTCAATGATATTGACAAATGCCGGATGGTAAACAGGTCTCAAAATAGTTCGTGACGTCACGTAGTGCGCGAGAATGGTGGGAAGTTCTTTCGGACTGTCTTTTGACTTTTCATTCGTATAACACTTATTTTGACGTTCGAGAGTAAACGTAACATTTCATGGCGGATTTCGCCAGGACCGAACGACAGACAAGACAGATGGAAACAGAACATACAGTTCCAGGTAATATATTAACCTGCTATATTTATACATTCTGTCTGTCACGTGAAACAGTCATTCTGATAAACGTGTTTTCAATTTTATTGACCATCAAATAAAAGCACGAGCTCTTTCACAGCCCAGAGTTGTGAATGTAGGCCAACTTTGGCTTCCGATTGCCACTGTTTGAACTGAAACGAAGATAATAGGACCTCATTCTGTCGTTTCATAATAGGTTATTAGTTATCACGTGAGGTGTATTATTTCCGCTTGAAAAAAAATCAGTTGTTAAAGACATGTTTGTCAATATTATAACTTATGAACAAGGTCTGTCCAAGTAGGTATTTTCCCCTACCTGACGATGGGCAGTGATCTCTCACCTTTTGGTGTGTTATTGTAACATCATTAATGAATGGATGCACTTGAACTTCAACGGATCATCTCCACTCAAAGATGGCTACATAATTTTTATTTCAAATCCGTTAAGTTAGTGTTCAAGTAATAGATTTTTGATTAAAAAACGAAACGAATTGTTTAAAAAGATAATAAATTACACCACATGCCCTTCTTTCGATAAAAAACAAAGAATGATAATAGGATGGTAATTGTTGTAAAAAGAAAATGAGATGTCACTGTGTACATTCAGAAATTAGATCAAGTCATCTTTAATTTGTCAAGAAGATAGTCAGAAGGGTTCTAACTATAGACCTATGATTTTATTTTTGTCTTGTTCAAGACAAAGATGAAACCACGGATAGTTAGTTTGATCCCTTCAGACTATCAAAAAATGTTGATGGATTGATTGATCATTAATTTTGTAGGCAAGTCCAGAACATCAATTACAAAATAATAACCAGTTCCAATACTAAGAGACAGAGTGGGTTCTCAAAATTTGAGCGAGTCTGACAGGAAAAATTTACAGAAACTAATGGAGACTAGTGATAAATTTCATATGTGTTTTCTTAACTGCAAAATATCAAAATTACTCCATTTTTCCCTAAGTATCTTAGCTCCTTTTTTGTGTGTTTTTTTTAGGGGATAATGTCAGCTTAACACATTATTTTTATTTCTCTTCCTAAAGTGCAAGAATATAAGACTCTTTTCTATATGGGTATGTAGGATAGGGATATTCCACCCGAGGGGTCACAAAATATGGTAAAACCCGAGGCTTGCCGAGGGTTTTTACCATATTTTGTGATCCCGAGGGTGGAATATCCCTATCCTACATACCCATATAGAAAAGAGTTTTTTTCTCTCATTTCTAATCTCATAGTATCAAATATTTGCACTCACCTCGCGGTATCCATCACTGGACGCCGCCATTTTTCAGATTTCTATTTTTTTCCTTGGGCCATATACATAAAAAATATGCTGAAATAGATTCTCCATCCCCGAATTTTGCAAACTATGTTTGCGGTCGAAAACATAATATGGACATAATGTAAACATCCAACGTCAGTGTTTAACTGTTTTTTCTTCAAGCTGGCTGGGTCAAATACCCTGTCAAATACATCACCCAGAGACATGCGTACGCGTTCAAATATAGTGCCTTAAAACACGCAATAAAACAACACTTTTCTTTTTAATATTTACTATTGCTCAATGTATAATATATCATAAACACTTTTTACATCTTTGAACATGTTGGTCAAGTTATTAATACTACTTCACTGTCAATAGTAATCTTACAAATCTTACACATTTATGAATGGAATTCTTTGTTTGCTTGTGAGATGACGTCACTTACGTCACACATTTCGCGCCACACCGACAGGAGGAAAGTTAGTCATTGTCACTTTCAATCACACGTTGACGACGGCGGAAAGGCCGAGTCCCAGGGTTGGTGATGTTGATATTTATAAAACAGTTTTGTTAATACGAGCCTGCAAACAATGACTCCAATCGGCTATGCGTGTTTGTGGATGAAGCGGATGACGAGGACATAGTCGATGAGTGCGCGGGAAAAAACTATGAATTACTCCGCGCGCGAGGCTTTATTACACAGGCGCCTGTGTAATAAACGTCTATCATGACCATGTTTATTGCCCTGGACAGGCCTATCTGACACAGGTGGAAATGAGAGAAAAAACCATCAAAAATATCTTGCTACTGTTTCAGAAAATCATACTATGCATTGTACAATACATGAAGGCACAGACTGCTGTTAGCTAGATTAAGAGATTAAGGAAGAAAATGACTTGACATTCTGGCATCCCAAATGTCATTTTATCGACATGTGAGAAAATGAGAGTTAAGCTCACCATAAAAACTTGAATAATATAGATCAAAAATGACTGATCATATTAAGTAATGATAATGTCAGAGTGAAATATTAAGTCATGGACAGCTAAAACATAGGTAAAACGCTAAAACTTGGGTCATGTGTGTAGCAGCCTTTTTTATGTCATTTGCCATATTTGTGTTTGGCTTAAACATGGAGTATTAAACATGTACACAGGTAAATAGACCACTTCATATCAGTAATAATATACTTTATTCATCACATCTTTTATTATACCTCTTAATAATTCTTGAAGCTGCAAACTAGCACCTTTGGCTCCTAGTAAGACTGTGAATGGTTCAAAATTGCAATCACCTTTGGCCTTTGAAGTGCATCCATAAACTTTCAACATTTTCATCTTCTTCTTTAGAATTGATGAACCGATTTCAGTGAAATTTTGCTGAAACAATCCCTAGCCTAAAATGAACCAAAAAGGGTAATTAAACAGTTCTCAACACACAGGGCAAAATTGGCCACATTGACTTAAAATTAATAAAACTTTCTTTTCAACACTCAGATATGGTAGTATTAAATGCTGTTCATGGATGGAGGCGTCTGAAGGTGCTTTACCAAAATTGTGTATTTTAGGGCCCCAGGGTCTCACATTTCCTGTAGTTTATATAGAAAAAATATAGGAAATAAGTTTTATTTACAAAAATAATGAACAAACATATCAGGACATTAATTTTGTAATCAACAAGTGTTTTTGGGTACTAATAGATGAAGATGCATTTTTAACAACATCCAGTTCAGAAAATCTGAGTCCATGTTACATCCCAGACATATTTTGTAAAAAAAAAAATAATACATACACCAGAAAAATTTTAATGTTAAATGTAATGCCATGCAAAGTTATTTTACATATTGTCTGTGTACATTTCATCATCAAAATAGTCAGTGTATTACATAATGGAAAAACATAACAAAGACAATAAATTGTGTTTGGTGTCCTGTGCATCCTAGGAACAACTAGCACACATGCTTCTTATCCACTATGTGTTAAATGTAAAAAGGTCTCTCTTGTTTATTTTGGGTTTTCCTGTGTTATATGAGGTCAAGAATCAAACAAGTCGGTCACATTTGAGTGTAATTCATCATTATATAATGATGGACGCTAAAATGCATCAAACAATATAGCAAACCTCATATTACTCCACAATATTTTGTCATTGGGCCATCTTTAACTGCAATTTTGCTGTAAAATATATCAAATATTTGATGACAAGTAATATTAGGTTTGTTCCCATTAAACTTTGTCATTTCAGACAACATTTTCAATAGTTGGCCTACATATTCATCAAATTTCTGGGACATAACTTTTGACTTCCATCAAGACCACTCCAGTATATAGGTAAATTTTTGCATCCTGGTAGTGCAGGCACGTGTATAACAGACGGAAACCAATCTATGATCTGAGCCTCTAAGATGATTGGGTAAAACATAAATACCAACATACTCATAATAATTTCATGCAGATATTTCTATGCTTCTCTGTTTGGAAGAAAAAAGTTATCTCACTGTTCCATTTCTCTCCCTTCATCCATACTTTCGAAGTTTCTTATACGCTAGATATTAAGGTCTTAACTCCACAACGTACCTAAAAAGATGTTTAAATATTTTTGTCTATTCTATGGAAGATACTAGTGTTGCATAGAGGATCATATTTGTTTTAAATGGTTACTGATAATTCTAAAACCGTAAGTTTGTATTTTAGCTTCATTTTCAGTAGTTTTACCATGACAGACTTCAGAGATCATGTTTCTGACATGATTTATCAAATGCAGTCAAAAAATGTTATCTCGAAATTCAAGGGACCTTGGAAAATATTTCGACTTATCCGAATTTCGACTCAGAGGAGGTTTATAAATAAGGTTGACGATATCAGTTTCCTGATGGTCAAACGATGTAGAGCTATGATAGCACGCATGCAGGGTAGTATAATCTGTTAAATGGCAGTAAATAAACAAAGAAATTTAATTCTACTTTCTCCTTTTATTGTTTACTCATCCAAACAATGAAATATGTAAAAACAACTCCAATCAAATGCATTTATACTCCCATCGTTCCGTCCTGCACACATGTACAATAGCCTTACTGACCAAGCACATATACATCATGTATTTTACGGAATGACAATAAAATGAAATTAAAAATTGTTTTTGATATGCTACAAAAAACTATGTATAAAGCTACAGATTATATCAATATGAGTTTATTACAAATAGATATGCATATGAAAAACGTGGCACTATAAAGTTTTTACCTGTTGAAGAAACATTGTACAGGCGCTAGTCTTAACACACACAGATATTGAGTCTTATCAACGAAAAATACTTTCTGCACTTCATTGTCCAAACACTAAGTCTTACAAAGTTCCCGATCACAATCCTTTAGTAAACAAGCTGAAGATTAGTTTCTCCCTGAATAATGGTAATGAGATTTTGTCAAAAAGATTGTACTAGTTTGACAGTTTCGTTTTTATCGTTCCTGAAGGTGCACACAACCTAGTTAAATATTTTCAATGTTTTGTGTAAACCAGCTACTTTGTTAATGTACAGGTATTCCCTGCTACTGGATGGTGACACTAATTAAGAAGCCTAAGTTTAATTGTATGATTAAACTGGTATTTCATTGCCAGAAACCAAGTGTTGTGTGTATGATTTACCACCGATACGCTATAATTAGCCATGTGTTACGCACAGGTGACTTTTCTACTCTTTGTATGTATTGACCTATTTCATCAGAAGATGTGTCAATGTTTTTACAAAAATTAATAAAGACAACGAATGATTTTTCCCTTGCTTTACAAATGAAGGGGCTGAAAAATCACTTTGACTCAACAGAAATTTCGACTCAATGAAATTCAATCCTTCCGAACTAAGATTACAAAGTTATAGAAGGAAAAAAATCAGGACTTTAAAATTATCTCGACTCAAATGGAATTTTGACTCGTGCAATTTCGAGGCAAGTTTCAACTGTAGTTTTGGAAATACTTTTCACCTTTGCAAATTATACGATAATAGATTAATTGAATAGTTTTTGAAAATTTTTAATATGAAACAACAATGACTAGTCTAATTTGGCTTTTTATGATAAATTCGAGTTGTAACCTTATACTCTGCTCGTAAGCATGGATGAGAAATTGATCAAGAGTGTGAAAGATATACACATATTTAAAGAAATAAAATGCTGTTGGCAAACTACAAAGATGGAAACAGTTTTGACTACAAGTTCTTGTTTTATCATAAGCTTATTGGCCTAATAATGAATTTACAGCATACCATGAAAAGCATGTTAAGGAATGCTTGAACAGCAAATATCCTATATGAGATTTTTCTCTCTTTATGTTATATGAGTCCTATGAATCGAGTGTACTCTATACATTCTTGTTATAATTTTACATGTGCACTTTCGTGGTCAAGGATCTATCAACTCATTTTCCTTTGAAATGGAACCTATTTTACAATCATTGATTGTATCTGGAAATTGAAGGCGTGATTGGTTAACATTTTGACTCAGAAAAGAAGGAACATTTTTAGATCTTCTCGGATTTTGATGCAGTATAGATGTAATTGGATGGGGTAATGGAAAATATATCCTAGCTCCTAGCTGCTGGGGTTTGAATTAGGCCAATAGCTTGAATTCTTCTTCATGGTTTTCACCTACACCAATACTGATGATTCTGGTGAGGCTATAGTGACGCTTTGGTTCTAGCCAGGCACTGCTACTAAACTAAAGAGAAATTCCCTCTAGCCAAGGCTATAAAGGTGACCATGATTAACCTAAACTCCAACAACTAAGTGTAAGTGGGACTCGTCAATTTAAAACATAGGTTTGTATTTGAGAACTTACATTGTGCCGTGCTCAACCAACTGTATTTGAGAACTTACATTGTGCCGTGCTCAAACAAGCTATGAACAAATGAAATGTTATTGGTCACTATTGTGTTAGGTACTATTACTAATAATAAAAACCCAGCTAATTTGATTTACAAGCAAATAATTGATAGGTTGTCAATAGCCAGTTACAATAACCGATTGTTGATATTGAAATCCATGAAGACAAAAAATACTCATGCATTATACTGTAAAATGTGCAGATTTCAGAGCCACGCTGTGACTGGGCATGATCAGTCATTATCTCTCAAATCACACTCGCATCAAAATGATCATGTGAAGATCTTATCATGACTATATGTCTAGAACCTTCACATATATATCAGCTTGACCAATCGCTAATCATATGCCATTTGAAATGGATATACCAGTTTCTTTATTTCACTACACATTATACACGGCGTCTATTTATAAGTGTTCTCAACACTTTGAATCATTCAAGACGGCACATCAAGGTTTACCCCGATGAAATGAATCATCTAAGACAGCACATCTAGATTTACCCCTATGAAATCCTATTCACTTGCATATTCGTAGGCTCACTCAACCAGATTCTTAATATCTGTACACATGTTGTGATCAAGCATTTGGCTGAGCAGTACAAGGGTATTAGACATAGTGATTAATGAGGGTGACAGTCTTTTCTTGTCTAAAAGATTGGTAGTTTTCATTTTAGATAATCTTTTACTTTTGAATTAATTGTTAGTTCAATTTGTTTTGAAAACAGATATTTCCCATTTAAAGCAATCACGGCCAGAGACTGCTGAAACAGGGAACATGAAGACCCATGGAAGTAGTGTTTTTTACATGTAACTAAAATATATTGAACTGTGCGTCAATATGTAGTTAATAAAATTGTTGCTACGTTCTTATGAGAAAACGGCAGCCCAGCAGCGGAATCACAACAATATTTACAAAACATTTTAAACATTTTCCGCAAGAAGTATCCATGATCATTTATATCTGAAGTTTCGAAGCTTTTTGACAAAGATATTTCATGATTAATTTTATTCTATTTTAAATGTGATTAGAACCAGGTGTAGCTAAACAAAGACAATGTGCTACTTTTGTTAGGTATCTTACATGCTATGACAGTCTCAGATTTCTTTATCTTCTTGAAAAAATCACACAGCACCACTATTTGTTAAGAAAAAGATACCTGCAACATAATTAAGGAAGGGATGCTCAGAGATTTGAACTAAACAATGGCCTATGTCTGTTTGTACACCCTTAGATAATGAACCATCCACAGAATTAGTAGGAGCCAGAGTCACTAATTGCAGCATTAAATATTATTAAAAGATGTAGTGAATAAACTCATAATATTACTAGTGGTTGATTTATATGTGTACATGTTTTATACTCCCATGTTTTAGCGAAAAACAATGTGAAAAATGTTGTTACACACATGACCCTTGTTTCTGACCCATTCACTCTGGTTTTAGCTGGTCATAACCTAATATTTCACTCTGAGAGGTTGGCATTACTGTCAATTTAACATATAGTAAGAATATTTCCTCGTTTAACCAGAACCCCATTAATGACTAGTATTTTTCATGTATTTTTTTTTTTTTTTGCCATGTTTTTGGACTGAATTTTTTTTAAAGCCTATCTTTTTGAAATTTGCTTCACACTTTTGTAGAACAGTTCCAGTTAACATGTCATATATGGTTTTTCCTCATTGGACTAAAAATGATTTTTTTTCCCGGTTTTTTGGACTTACTCATTTTTCCAGCATTAATCTCTGCTTACCATCTTCTCATATACTGGCAGTTGATAATGGACTGATGAATTGAAGGACATGATAGCTATGATGAAACTATGTGTTCACAGTGATTGATATATGAAGTCTACGTGGGTATTAGTTATCCTCACAATAACTGTTGCAGTTGTAATAAGTTTTCTATAGATTGACACACATCTTCTTTTTTTGGGATCAACTCCAGTAAATTTATATATATCAACATGCACCATAAACTCATCAATAAATGAGAGGCTGATGTATTCCTTGGCTTCTATAAACAGATAATAGCCCTTTGACCTAGATATTGATTTGTTTCATGAGCTATTGAGAGGAAAGCTGTACCAACAGCTTAACAAGGGGAAGCAGGAGAAATTGTGATTGACATTGTACATTTAACATACACATGTAATCTTAAGAAAAAACACCCTTTGAAAGATTTCATCTGTTCTTTGCTTTCATTTATATCATCATCAAATATACCATTTATATCATCATCAGTTATGGCCGTCTATCGTGGCAAGAGGTTGTGAACTTGTCAGATAACTAAGCTACAAACTACTGTACATATCTGCCTTTAGATCAACATCATTAATACACTTGAGTAGTCTTTATCTTCTTCCTTTTTTGTGTTGTGTATGATTTAGTGTATAAATATTTATAGGAATTTTGATCTTTATAATCTTCATGTCAGATTTAGGAGTAACATCGATTTCCTATCATTACAGCAACAGCGTTTTCTAAGAATTTATGACAAAATGCATGAATATATTAAAAATGTACTTAGCAAAGTCATGCTCATACAGCTTTCATAAATAGACAGTGCTGACAATGATGAAACTGATACACATTGATATATTCATTTTTTCAACCTGAAAAATTCTAATCAGTTATTTATTACTGGAGTTTTCAAAACCTGAAGAGTACTAGCTCAGTGATTTGCCAGTAGTTTTCACAACCTTAAAAAAATGATTAATTCAGATTCAAATAGTAAAAACAAATGTTGAAAAAATTATATGAATTAATTATGAAAAATAAATTGGAAAATTTTACACAATGTATTTTGATGATGTTCTTTTTTACAGATTTTTATGAATGATATTTCATTACATCACTACTCTCTGTTCTGAGTGTCATATAGCTCTTTACATTGACTTCGTTAAAAGACACATATTTATGTCTGATATTTTGAAGATAGTGTGATTATTGTAAAATTATAGAGAGGATATTTGGTTGAATGATGTATGTCATGTATTAGTTACTGGACATTATATTCAAATAAAACATTTCCAGGTACTTACTGGGTAGTAAATACATAGAACATGAACTATACTTGGAAGAATGATAACGATTGTCACTAGGTATTCATATGTTAGAATGTCGACAGAAACCATGATATCATTAATGTATTTATATAATCAACATAGTCAGTCCTAATTGTGGACACAAGATTTCCATCCCTGGTATAATCATGTAATCATATTCTTATTTGGATCAGGTAATCATTTATATTTAAAACTAAAAATGATGACATCATTTATCGTATGGGCCAAGGTCACCTAGCTAACTGACAATGATATAAATGTATATATATATATGTACATACGAAAATACCTACACCTGTCTATCTATGAGGTGATATGTGGAGTACATCCGGTATGTAGGAATCACTGAGGCATTATTACATGTTTGAAGACCAGATTTACCTGTGAAGTAAAAGACATACAAACAATCTCATACAACCTGATATGGAACAGAAGGGTACATATCAATTGGTATTGTTAGTCATATAATTGTTATATTTGTTATCATATCACCTATGTGTGTTTGGCATATTGTTGCTTAAAGGCATATTCATGCTTTAAGATGAAAAGAACAAAAATTACTTTCATTTTGTATATATCATATACCTGCAGAACATATACATATATGCATTACATCTGACAGCTTTTAAGATTTTACAGGCTAGCTTGCCATCACTTGACTGTTTTTGAAGTCTAGTGTTAAGTGCCAAAGTTCAAATCTTTGTTTCTTATAATCTTCAGTTCGTGATCAATGTATGTGTCTTTCTTTTGTCTGCAGTGTCGGCATCTGGCATGCCTCTACAAGGCCAGCCAATCCAGATTGTCATCACTGGAGAGGATCACCAGTTTGAACTAGATGAAACTAAGCTGGAAGAGATCTTGTTGAACCCTCGGATACAGGATAAAAAAGTGGCTGTAATTTCTGTGGCAGGAGCCTTCAGGAAGGGCAAGTCATTCCTCCTCGACTTCTTCCTCAGATACATGAATGCCAAGGTATGATTGCTTCTCAAATAACTTATTTGAATTCTTTTATGTAACCAGTGAACTGCAACTTCCATAGTGTCAAAACAATTTGAAATTATTTCATGTTTTTTATTTCAAGTTCCTTAGCGCTTATGAGTAAAACAAGAAGATCAGCTGACCTTAATTACACAATAAATACAATATTCATGTATCACATATCAATGTGGGGTAAAAAGTTTCTGTAGGACTTTTCCATGTATTATATCAATAACTTAATGAACTGGTTCCTTCTGCTTTAACAGGGTCACCCAGACTGGTTAGGTGGAGATGATGCACCCTTGACAGGATTCTCATGGCGGGGAGGCTCAGAGAGAGAAACAACCGGAATCCTTATGTGGAGTGAACCTTTTATATGTGAAATACCATCAGGAGAACAGGTAACATCAGCCAGAATTTAATTAATCTATTTCGGGATGGAGTTAAAATCTCAATGAATGTTTGTACTAATGGTGCCTCTCTTTCATCATTATCACCAGGTGGCGGTGCTATTGATGGATACACAGGGTGCATTTGACAGCGAATCAACAGTAAGGGATTGTGCCACAGTATTTGCTCTGAGTACTATGCTCAGTTCTGTCCAGGTAAAAACACCTTCTTTTTTTTTCGTTTACAAGTGTTTCTGTTTCATCAGTAAAGTCCCTTTGTGTGTAAAGTTCCTAATAAAAGCAATGCAGAAAGTCCACATAATTAGAGGCAGACAGGTCTACTGTCAATTGAATCATTAGCAAGGAGATATTGGGTCACCTACTACATGTAGTTACATATACTATGGCTGTAGGAATGTATAATATTACGTCTTGTAATGTTCTCTATATACTAAAAGGAAGTACAATTTGAATATTCTGTCTTGATTTTTGTGGAGGATCAGAAATGATAACTATCTTGAGGTTTCCTGAATTTGAATAAATGTGTGATTGTCATTAATTAACTTTGATTTTCCAGGTTTTCAACTTAACACAGAATATTCAGGAAGATGACTTGCAACACTTACAGGTACTTCAGCATACAGGGTCATATCTCAATGCATTGTGGAGTATCATAGCACATAACTTTCAGACCTTGTAGCAAATATGATCCCTGCTTCATGCAGACTTTAAAGAATTGAAGTCATTGGAGGTGTTTCATGAGTAATGCTGAACATAAATATAAAATTTTCCATGAAACTTTCTGATATTTGCAGTGGTTATGGAACTTAGTGTTACAGCCATAGATTATTTAATACAGCTCTATCTTGTCCGAATGGTTCTGACTATCTGCGATTCTATTTTTTGTCTTGGTTGACCTCGACAATGACAAAATTAAAATTGCTGATAGGTACTCTGAACTCTTCAGACTGAGATTGATCATACAATCTTACAATAACATAATGGAGCCATTATGTTTTTGATATTTTAAAAAATATTGCAGTCATGTATAATACATTATTGTTGATAGCCTTAGCAACAGTTAATCTGATATAAGTTAGTAGCTAAAAATTAACTTTTATAGGTAGATAGAAGTAGGTGATGATATAATAAATGGGGCTTAGAGTTATTTAGTGTTGTGTGGTAAGGTGAGTAGGGTTGGGGGGGGGGGGTGTCAGGGGTTGTTTCAGCAGTAAGTAGAATTTTTCACTTCAAAATCATCCAATGTCCATTCAGGATCAATCAGCAGATTACAGCCGATCTATTGTTAATAAGATATATTAATAAGAAAACCCCATTTATTTCATGATACACTGTGTTTTGACACAAATAAGATAATCTTACTTTATTTGTCAGCTTCAGTACTTTAATGAAACACGTGATTAAACTAAAGCTCATGAACATCATTTCTTTTCAGTTATTTACAGAGTACGGAAGGTTAGCCCTGGAAGCAAATGATAATGTCTCCAAACCATTTCAGGTAAATGTATAGATGAGGACAAATTAATGACGAACCAGCCTATGGTTGTCAAAGAAGCATGGTAGATCTGAAGAAAAATCTATAAGAATTGGTCAATCAGTGCCAATATGCTATCAGTCATACATGACTTGAATTTATATATATAAAGGAATATTAAGTCATATTTCTTATTGGTTGTCTTGTCATGCAAATAGAATGTAATTTGAATGAGAATTTATCAAAGCAATGTTTTGTAAAAGAAAATTTAATTAAAACAGCGCGATGCGTTTGCGTTTCTGAACCAGATATTGATTTAATATTGATCATCTGCTGCTTGAAATATAAATCGGTTTATTATTATTTTTGTTGGTTAATACAAGGTGATAGTTTTTATCTCTCCAATCAATGATTGGAAGAAGATATTGTAATGCAACTGTCTGTCCATATCATCATTTCTAGACAATAACTTGAGGCCAATCAAATGAACTTCAAACATTGCTTTCTTATCAGAAGTGATCAAACAACAAAATTACTGTTATTATAAATTAAAAACTGGTTTCTGCCTAAAAAATTCTTGTTTCATTGGATGTTAGAAACTAAAATCCCACACAGTACTTCCCTTCCAATACAGGTTGTAAATTTTGCACACTGCTTTTTTTAATGACCGTGCCAATTATATTTTGATTGGTTTTCAAGATTAAAGGGTCAATTTAGGTCGAGGTCAGTATTGCTGTTAATATAATCTCATTATGACACAGTTATTTGAGTTCTGCTAAATAATTTGAGTGCCCCTGGACTGATGAATCTCAAAAATTACAGAACATTCCCAGGACAGTCAACAGTTAGAGGGGTTAGTATCATTCAGGGATACCTTGTTTGCTATGCATCAGCCTATATCTAGAGTTTGGTTATAAAAGCCTTATGTGTCTACAGTGTTTGGAATTCCTTGTGCGAGACTGGAGTTTCCCATATGAAGCACCCTATGGCGCAGTAGGGGGGCGCAAGATCCTGGAGCGTCGCCTCCAGGTATCAGACAGACAGCATCCAGAGCTTCAGCAATTGCGGCTTCATATCAAATCCTGTTTTACCAGCATTGGCAGCTTTTTAATGCCCCACCCAGGACTAGGGGTGGCTACTAATCCCATGTTTGATGGCAAACTCAAAGGTTAGTCAAATAAGACAATACAGACTCAGTAGTCAGTAAAACTTTTAAAAGGTGGTTAAAAATAGTTTGATGGGCATCTGGTTATGATAGCTTGGAAGACAAGATATTCCCATATGATATAATTAATGGATACATACAACATACTGGAAACAAAATTAATATGTTAATAATTATTGTTCAGGCACAAAATTAACATTAAATTTTTATCGTTTTTTTTTTTCCAGACATTGAAAAAGATTTTAAGGAACAGTTGAACATTTTAGTACCGTTACTACTTGATGATTCCAACCTGGTTGTCAAGGAGATCAATGGATGCAAAATCACATGTCGAGAACTAGTGGAATATTTCAAGGTAGATATCATCACCTTTATTTGTCAGGAGGGAAAAGGTCAATTTTGTCACATCATTGAGATAAGTTGTTATGATAAGTATTGTATTGATGCTGAATTTCACAAATTTTATTTAAAAATTGTTATGCCCTCTTCCACAAATTTAAGTCATTAACTGTGTTTGTTTTTAGGCCTACATCAAGATTTACCAAGGAGAAGAACTGCCTGAGCCCAAGTCCATGCTACAGGTAAATAAAAGCTTACTGTCAGATAGGGTATGAAACCAACTGTCATGTCAACAGGTTTTACAGAACTTTAATCATACCACAGGGAATTGGTTAAGTCAGTTATCTGTCTAGTTGACTGACTTTGTTGAATAGGTATATCCGTATCAATTCTATTTTGTTGTAACCATACACATAGTGATAATTATTATCAAGATAATCTGTAAATGTGACACTTTTTAATGCTCCCTATTTTATTTGAGGTATAGAATCCTACCTATGTCTCACCCTCCCATTCTGAATCATTGTCATCTTGAGATCCTCTCAACAGATGTGGTTATAGATATATATGTTTATATAAACTTAATTCCGAAACAAGTTATTTCTACTTATACTATTACTAATCTCTGTTGTTGTACTAATCACTATTGTTGGCCCGGATGTAAGCGTTTGAGTAGTCTTATCATGGGAGGAAACCAGAGTACCCGGGGAAAACCCATGTGGTTGGGCAAATGACCCCATACTTTTTCATGTCCGTTCCGGGAATTGAAACCCGGACATCTTGTTGAAAGGCAAGTGCATTACCACTGCATCTTCCGATCACCCAAACAGATTTAGTTCATATTTACCCCATAGTATCATAACATCAGGTTGTCCATTTAATCGTGTCAAGGTGATTATCTTCAGGGTTATAGGATCAGAGGTGACATTATGCATGGGAGTAGATGCATTCATGACTTACAGAGAGTTTCTAGTTGAAGTATTGTTAGAAAGATTTTATAACATACAGAACATGTGAAACAAAGTTTTGGATTCTCACAATAAAGACTATGTTTTTATATGTATGCTGTGTTTGTAACAGGCAACAGCAGAAGCGAACAACTTAGCAGCAGTTTCCAGTGCCAAGAGTCTTTATCAAAAGGAAATGGAAAATGTAAGTGTCATTAAATCATGACAGGAGTTGAATTATAACTAAGTCTGACTGAACAGAATGGTACATTAATCTGTGGGACAAGTTACTGATGTGCTCTACAACATACTGGTACCAGAAAGGTTTTTCCTACACATACTGATATGTTTTAGAAACAATAGTTATCATGTATGAATTTAATCATAGATATAAGTTGGGAACCATTGATGTTTCAAAATTTCCGTTATCAAAATCATCCCAGATAATAGAAACAATTGTTGTTAATAAATGAAAAAACTTGTTGGCTTCACAGGTAAAACCTGTGTGGAATACAAGTATGAAACTGCCTTTGTAGTCTGTGTTTTTGGTAAAACTTTTCTGTATTACAGGCAAAACTTGAATGTGTTACAAGTAAAATTTGTCTGTAGTACAGGTAACTAGTCAGTAAAACTAGTTTGTCTGACAGGTAGATCATGAAATTTTGATATTTTTCTCTCACTTACAATTTTCTCTTACTAAAATCTGCAAGTTTTGAATTTATAACTTAATACACTTTGCTATCATAAATGACTTTTAAATTATATGCCAAAAAAGATGAGCGATTGGAGATGAGGCTGGACTACATCAGGTGATGATACAACCCTTTTTCAGAGAGATGCTGTGCTTATAATTAGATACATGTAGGCTTTCTTTCCCTAAGTAGGTAACAGCTGATTTATCTGTCCCCGAGTAAAGCAATAATACACGCTTTCTTTCCCTAAGTAGGTAACAGCTGATTTATCTGTCCCCGAGTAAAGCAAGAATACACGCTTTCTTTCCCTAAGTAGATAACAGCTGATTTATCTGTCCCCGAGTAAAGCAATAATACACGCTTTCTTTCCCTAAGTAGATAACAGCTGATTTATCTGTCCCCGAGTAAAGCAATAATACACGCTTTCTTTCCCTAAGTAGATAACAGCTGATTTATCTGTCCCCGAGTAAAGCAATAATACACGCTTTCTTTCCCTAAGTAGGTAACAGCTGATTTATCTGTCCCCGAGTAAAGCAACAATACACGCTTTCTTTCCCAAAGTAGGTAACAGCTGATTTATCTGTCCCCGAGTAAAGCAATAATACACGCTTTCTTTCCCTAAGTAGGTAACAGCAGATTTATCTGCCCCTGAGTAAAGCAAGAATACACGCTTTCTTTCCCAAAGTAGGTAACAGCTGATTTATCTGTCCCCGAGTAAAGCAATAATACACGCTTTCTTTCCCTAAGTAGGTAACAGCAGATTTATCTGCCCCTGAGTAAAGCAAGAATACACGCTTTCTTTCCCTAAGTAGGTAACAGCAGATTTATTTGTCCCCGAGTAAAACAAGAATACACTTTTGAAATGTAGAAGAAAGATTCAATCAGTTTCACAGATGAAACTAGTCTTTACCTCATAGTTATGTTCCAGTTAATAAAGTTAGACTGGGTTTCAATAGACTTAATATTGTGTTATAGATTTGTGGTGGAGATAAGCCATTCCTACACCCTGATGCTTTAGAAAGAGACCACCAACGCTGCCTTGAGAAAGCTTTGTCAACATTCACATCCACACGAAAAATGGGTGGACCCGAGTTCAGCAAAGGCTATGGTGATCAATTGGAAAAAGAGTTATTAGAAATGTATGACAATTACAAGAAACATAACGATGGTAAAAACATTTTCAGTTCCGCCCGTACCCCAGCTGTGCTGTTTACAGTGATGGCCATGGCATATGTGTTTTCAGGGGTGTTTGCACTGATTGGACTAGACTACTTTGCCAACCTTATGAACTTAGTGCTGTTTGTGTTCCTTATGTTATTGTGTACCTGGATGTATGTGCGTTATAGTGGTGAACAGAGGATGTTGGGAGAACATATAGACTTTATTGCTGAAGTGATCTGGGATAAGGTAGGTCAAACGGCAGTCTTGAATCAGATTGTTCATTTTACATTACACTAAGTTTAATGGTGCATCATGTCTTTTCGTTTGTCGCAAAAATTACATGTTCAATAGCAAAATCAGGTGATAATCTTATTAATGATTAAGTGTATATCTAATTTGATACAGAATAAAGGTCAGGAAAACCCCTAAGAATCAATGTCCAATGGGTATACACGAGCAGAAATTAATCCTCAACATCTTGTATATTAATATAGAAAAGTAATTGTGAAAAGTATGAATCTCATTGCTAACTTTACTGTTTAATATTATAATATTAATATAATATAAATAATTATTTTAATTATAAAAAAATAAAATAATATAAAGAAATGCATTATTTTGTGTGATGACAGTTGTCTCATATTCACGTATTACAGGCCCTTGCTCAAGTCTACACAAAAGTTTTGGAGCAGGGAGTGAAGCAAGCAGTGCGACAGAATTCTCGACCAAAACAAGAATAACAGCATCCTACTGGTGTTCAGTTCTGTTGAACTCTGACAGGGTGGGAGAAGCTCACTGTTACATTTCCAAAAACATCCACAATTGGAGGACTATTATGTTAATGAAACTGTATCTGGAAGAAAGTAATCTAGCCTTTATTTAGATATACAAGTTAGAAGCCTCCTAACAAGACGGGACAAAAAATAGGGTAAACATTTTCGAGAGGTCTGTGATCAGGAACTTGTAGATTTTGTACCTGATTTAGCTACAGTTTGTACATCTGAAAAAGATTTTCGGCTTCATTATTCTTGTAACGATTAATTTTATTTATATTAGATTTGCTATACTATATGATAAGAAATTGGGAATTGGTTTTTACTAATTTATTTATCCTCATAAAGTTTTTTTTTAACACTGTTAAAACACGACTCTCAACTTTAGGGCAAAAAGTAGCATTTAATATCATATTGTATAAAATGATCCAATGAAACTATACAAAGTACTTCTGTAAATGTAACATATTTAGAATTATTTCGTTACCCACATCAAGTCCGATATCTTGTTTCAATGATACTGTTATTTTCGTGGTACTGTATCTTCTCAGAAAAATATTGAGATAGTTGATATTATTGTACTAAAATAGGATTATGTATTTGGTAGTGTTAAAAAATACTGCAGGACATAAAAGGAAGTATTCAACATATATTAGTAAATTTAATTGATTTTCTTCTCAGTTAATTTAGAGACTTTCTTATAGGAAAGCGTAGTTACATAGTTACATCAACAGTTTTTGGTGCAAAACATAGGTGCAATACTTAATTCTATCCAATGTCATTGTTTGTTGTAGAATTTTACTACATGTATCAGTAAAGTTAAATGGGTCAAACCCTATATATACAAAGTGAATGATATTGTTTGGTAAATGCTGTTTATAATTATCTTTTTTTTCTAAACATGATTAATAGAAAAAGGGAGATAAACCGAAAACTTTCTGACCTCATTTTGTTTTGTTTACTTGGAGCAAACAAATGCAGATGTAGATTTGATATATGCAAATTATCCGTAGTATTTGCAAGGTAACTTAATGTTAAAACAATTGTACTAATTTTATGGTGTTTTATTTGTGAAGATTTCAAATTTTCAACTAATACCATTCCAAGACTGCTTGTCTGTGTCACCAGTGTTCTGAATGTTTGTGTTTCTTTTCTTTCCAAATTTTCACTGACCTTTATCTGACCTGATTTTGAAGATTTTTTCCGTGTTAAGTTTTGATCTGTTTTATGAATATTTCCAAGATTTTCCAGTTGCAATGTCATATCACAATATCAACACTTTGATATTATTTCATTTACTTCAGCAGTATGTTTGAGTTGAATGTCTATTTCAGTAAACCTGTATCATGAAAATGATTGCACCAAAAATGAATTTCCCGTGACAATTTGATAAACAAAGCAGGGATTATATACATTGTCCATACATCATGTAATTAGTGCTACCATTTTGTTGGTACTGATTATAGGATGATATGTGATCTGAGTGTCTTCTTTATAAAAAAGTGAGTAACATTATCATTTTTTTTCACAATATGTCTGGATTTATTTTCATTTGATGTATCTGATTTATTGATTTTTTTTCCGTACATGAACTGGTCAAATATCCAACGCAACTCTGTGTATTTGTCTCAGCTTCAGATATCTGGTTATACAAACCGTAACTATTTTTATACCAATAAATGTGGAATGTTTCTTTGTCAGATCCATGACAAAAAATACTCTTGCTGTGTTTAAAATTGTCACTCTTGTTGTATAATTGTGTGTGGATTTGAATTAATATTAAATTTTCAAATTTTATTCAAGTACAGGGCTGTAAGGTATAACTATAAGATATTCCACTAAAAGCAGTATTATTTAAACAAAAGCGACAATAACTTTTATTGTTACAGTGTATTTATATATATTTGATGGCAATTTATCTGTAATTCTGTTTAGATCAGCTCAAATAAGATTTAGTTTAGCTTCAATAATTGATTAAATCAGTTTTGATATAAAGCAAAATAAAAATTCAGTATAATGCTGTCAGCCAAGTTTTAGCTGATATTTTTTATCCTATGAACTATTTCAAATTTTATTGTAGTTTACAGATCATACAATTGTAGTTCGATATCAATTCCATAATAGGGATATCATTTGATATATATTCATGTCTAAAGATATATGTTGACAATTTTGATAAAGTTACATGTTTCAGTTTCATCATCATCTAATACACAAGGGTTTGACAAATGAAAGAGGAAACAGAATTAATAACTGTTTCAGTGACATCAGTACATTGTATAAACATTAATATGCACAATTTGAAATGTATTGTTTACAACCAGATTGTTTTTTAAAATCTTGGATGTCCACCGTAATATAATTAAAATCTGCTTAAAGAGGTTCTACTGTAACACGTTGACTTCAAATCCATAGATAATTGACATTTTAGAAATAATCATTAGATTTCTACACAATCTGGTTCATTTTTTACTGCTCTGTTGTTGATGTATTTATTTCAAGTGTCAACTTTGTTGAACAGTAGTTTTTTTTTTTTCTATCAAACAACCAGAGGTGATACACTTATTATACCTATATCTGTAGATTTATTTTATAAAAGATATGCATTTGTTTATAGATTGTCGGAGCCTATGAACCTTAATCCTATTTAACATTAAATATGGTAGGTAATGTGATGTTTTTGCCTTTATAAATAATGTGACGTACCTAACACATAGCATCATGATTGTGTAGAAGCCTTATAAGCCTGGCCACCTTATTTCACCACAACTTCAAATTAATTAAAACAGACAGATTTCAGATTTTTTTCCAAGATAGCAAAAGTCAATCAAATTGCAAAAAATTCTTTGTGCGAACACTTTAGATAGCAGGGACACACTATAGAGAGCAGTGCCTTACAATGACATCAAAAGTAATACAATGTGCATCCAACCCTGATGTTTCCTCTCTTAATATTTTATATGAACAAGGTCCTTCTTCTGTTCGTTTAACAGTGATATGTCACATTGAATGTTATACCGAATGTAAATTTCAAACATTTTTTGTGAGTTATATATATATTTAACTTGTCTAAGTGATGTTATGATATTTATTATATTATGTCGTTGATAGACTCTTACTTGTCTACAAGGTCTGTTCACTTGTCTTCATTACAGTAGAGTTATCTCCCCTCGTTTTCACTTCCTAACAGGACAGCAGTATTAAAAGAATACACCAATTCATTTTATCATTGTGAGAATGTCTTAGAAATATTCTTACCTTCTTTTATAACACTTAGAACTTATTTACCCAGAATGTACCAGTGATGAAACAGCAAATGTTGGCACCAAAAGAAAAAAGTTTTAAAACAGAAAGACAAAAACAAGTCACCAATATCAGTGAAAAAAATTATAACAGATTGAAAAAAGTAACAATGCAAAGAAGTTACAACACTTCTGATATTTCTGTTGCATGACATTAAATCTAACAGATCATTCTATACTAAACTACTGACTGATGATCACTAACATTGTTATCTCATTGTTGAATAACAAAAGATTGATTACAGTTTAATAACAAAAGATTGACAATAGTATAAGTCATGATTAATGTAAAGTCTATGTAAATTATTTCTCTGTGTTTTTACACTGTAAATATTGGTGCATTGCAAGTTAATATCAAATTGGGTCGGTTTTACTTTATCTTAGACAAGGCCTTAACTGTGCTGCACAGTCTGGTGTATTGCTAGATTGACTAACAACATACTGAATTCTTTTCATGAAGAATATTTATTAGAATATTTGAATTTTTGAACAATTTGAACAACTTGGCGGCAATAGGGATTTAAAGCAATGAATAGGAATAAAATATTTTCAGAAATAGAATGAATTTCTAATGAAAACAAAGCTATTGCAATTTTTGTAAAGACTTGCTTAGCTCACATATAGTGCTTCAAACAGCTTAAGTCTGTTTTTGGGGAAAACTGGTTTGTGATGATGTACAGCTTCTGATGTATAAGAGGTTGGGGTTTGTGCTTATCCATTGCAAAGTCTTCTGGTAATTACAATACTTAAATGAAGAATATCCTTGGAATTTTGATAGGGTAACATTGCTGCAAGATTTTCATCTGGAATGCAAATAAAAACATGCTTATTTACTTATTTATTGTCCAATAGAATTCGTTTTCTGTGTCTTACAGATTTTAACTGTCTCCTAGAATTTTATGAAATACAGGAGAAGTCATATACAATGTATGCTAACATTTAGTAATGCATTATAAACTGTTTGCACTTGCAGCTACCGAGTATATCAGTATATGTGTCATTTAGTAAGTGTAAACATGTTCTGATGACTAGTAACTCTCCCACAAACATCACATAATTGTCTCGGTAGTAATACCATCAATTGTCATTATATAGCGAATACAAGAATTTTTTTCTTTTTTTCTTTCATTTCTGTAATTCACAGAATTTAACTTGTTTCTTGAATTCAATTTTACATCACACCTTTATATAAGATGTGGAAAGCCATGTGATCGATCAGACTTAGGATAAAGTCATACTATATCTTATCGACCTTGAATTCATATCCTTCAGGGATTTTTATATAATCATAGTTGTGACCCATACTTTTTGTACTACAAGGAGGCAAATGTAAATATAAATATGTGCCAAAAAAAATTAGTTTGTCAATCTGTGTGAAATATACATGTACAGCTGTATTTTACCTGTGACAAAGGCCAAACTGATGTCCTGAGAACCACATAAAATAGTGTGGTGGTAAGACTTCTTAATACTAGACAATATTGCTGCCTATACTTATAAGATTTGCATAAAAATGTGGTAATCACCAAATTTTTTTTTTTAATAAATTTATGAAACATGAGATTATCTTTATACCAAACCTTTAGTAATCTAAAGAGCAAGGATAGAACATCAGAAATGTCTTCAATGTGGGTCTGTTTTTTTTTTTTTTTTTTGTTTTTTTTTATAATGTAAAATCTGTTGAACTAAAGCTGTGCTTATTACGGAACAACATATTCTAAATCTGACATATTGGCCAATCACTGGACTTATCACAGATGACATATGGAAGTTCAATGTATATAAAGTAAGATACATCTAGATGACAATGTTTGGATGAATCACTTCACTGAGCATTCAATGTGGTGGATTTTAACTTCATTTCAACGCATGAAGATTTTCCTTCTTTGTGTTGTCATAATGTATAAGCCAATTCAACATTGATATAGGAATCCCTAGAAGAGTTGGTGGGAGTAACACATATAGATATATTTAATTTCATGTTTATTTTCTTGTAAAGTTTGAAGGTATTTCTAGTGCATGGCATTTAAGTGCTAAGTTTAAGGGGAAACTAATGTTTTTTCTACTATTTGTACATGAAGAATGTATTGTGTTTGGTATATGGGAGAACTTGTTATGTGTTGTTGATTTAGAATATGATGTTTGTACTAAATGTCTTTTTGGAATACGGATCATCATCATAATGTTGCTTTTAATGTCTCATTCTGAACATTAAAATCATTTGTTGCATGAATTTGTTTTGTGCGCATTTTTTTTTTTTTATATATATATAAATAAGGAATGGGGTTCAAACAACTAAGCTAGCTTCATGAATTTTATCCGTTCTCATCCTTTACTCAGTGTTAGGTAGGAACTGCTTGTTTACAATCTGTTTCAAGTTCCATCCGTCAAAAACTCTAATGTCAGACATATTACGCCGGGGAAATTCAGGTATAGAAAAAGTTGCCAGTCGCAAACCTTAGTTCCACAACCGGAGCTGATTTAAATATGACATGCAGCATGATTGATTTCTTCATGTTGAATATGTGATGAATTCTACATGATAGATAAACTACTTGTCAACTGAATATCATAAATGGAAGCAAAACACATTGCATATTCTTTAAACCAAAGAGCCATGTCTTCAGAATAGTAAGTTCATGTGGGTGCAAATAGATTGGGAGCAGAAGAAAGTGTTTTGATGAACCATCCAGTCAACAAGTGATAGCTCAGAAATGATCAATTTCTATAAAGGCATTGTTCACTTAATGCCTTAACAAACACTGAATGCGTTTCACATTCGGCCAGAAAAGTAGTGAATCTGACAAAGAATTTGCGTTTAAAATGTAAGCTAAGCCCATACTACATGCTTAATGCTTTGTGCTAAATGCTTAAAGTCTACTTATTAAATGCAACAAGTCAAGTGCTTTGTAAAATGGTCTACTGACAATATTAAGCAAACCATGCTGGATGTGTGTATACTTTGCCTTAGTCAGCTGAAATCTACTTTGTGTGTGTCATCTGGAGACCCTGGTGATAATATGGCCAGTACGACATGTGAAATGCTTTGTGATTAATTCAAATGTTTTATGGACCCTTTCAACGATCACTGAAAACCTACCTCATATAACCACACTGAGTCTTACGAAGGATATTCCAGCTTGTAAATTTAGCATATTGTGTCATCTAACTATGGAAGTGTGTACCCAATGAAAATTTCTTAATTGCTGATATACATATATGCTAATAACTGATAAAAGATTCAATGTATCTTGTAAGCAGAGACCATTTTGGTAATAACCCCTGATCATATGTAGATTAATATTAAGATACAATCTATATTTTCTCTTGCATTTTACCTTCTCCTTAACATTAAAACAATGCAGTGGACTGAAAATGACATGAAAATATCTGTATTGCAATATGTAAAAGGGTATAAGAAGAATTGCACATGGGTCATTTATTGATATCTAAACAATCTGTCCTATTGCTAAAAGAAGGCATTTTTTCATAAGTTTTTAACCATTATTTCATTATCATTCAAGAGAAACATTACATTGCTATTAAAAATCATATCTGACATTGAACAAACAGGTGACTTCTTTTCATAGTGTTGTCAGTATTATTCTGACATTCTATCAACATGCAGGCCCCTATGGCCTCTTGTTAAGGACATACTTCAGAGTACTATGTAAGATATTTGAGCAAATATTTTCAACTTTGAAAATTTATTGATTGTAAAACAAACAAAAGCAAAAATCCTCTTTGAAGAAAAGCCATTGGATGACAGTTCATTTTACATCGTATGCATTTGTAAATATCATTTAAAGAGAAATTTTTAACCCTGATAAGATTCTCCGATTGCACACGAAAGTTACTGTACAGCCTTCTCCACAATAAATGTTCAATCCACATCAGATGAATTAATGTGAAACAGAAATTTGGTTCATCCTTGTAAAATAAATCGTTGGAGATCCTTTACCGGAAAATATATTGTTGTGGCTGAATATTGTCAATCATCTTTCAGTACCATATAAGAAAAAAGTATATGTATATATAGTTTCCATAGAGAAACCTATCTTTTGTAAGTAGAGGTATTTACTGAATTCTGTGCATGTCGCATCGTATATGCAGTATCTATATGCATAGCAAATACCTCTACGTTTTCGTTCCCCCGACTTTCAACAGGCTCATAAAAAGTCATATTTTCAGACTATCGAGAGTGTATGGGAAGGATACAGTACACAATGAGAATGTATTTGCATATATATTTATGATTTACGAGAATCGGAGATGTAGTAGGTGTCTGTGGCAAATGCATTAATGCAGTTGAAAATAGAGTCCAAATTAGGCTCACGTGATTTCTGAACAGATACGTTACATAAGGAGATAAATATTCGTCTATTTAATTTCAGAATTGGAAACAATATATCATATTACATCATTTTATGACGTCTTCTAATTCGTCATTGTGTCAGAGAAGAGTGTGATGGGTGTTTGAGTCATTTTTTTCTCGACCAATTTTAACTGATTTTTCGTTGTAAATAATAAACTAGTTGAGCATTATTCTATTATTGTTATTTTTCACCTTTGTGATTTATACGGTTGACATGTTGTTGAGATAAAGGATAAATAACGATATTTATACTACAGCTGACAGACTTGGTATAGTAATTTCAGACAATTTAGTGTTAGGGTGATGCTTCTATCCCCGAAGTGTGGTCATTGTACAACGTGGAAAATTGACATCTTCTAACAGTGTGTTAGATCCACATCTGTGAGACCATTAAAGTTCAGAGTGTCGTGACTATCTTTTCCTTGGTATCGCTTTTCCTGTTCCTGCTGGATGGGTAACACCAGAGACTGAAAATCCCACACAAGCAAATAGGAGAGGGCCAACAGTCCGTCCTTTTCTGGCCAGTGTTAATTTCTATATGGCTTCCACCACGGTAGTCGCTTTGAAGATCCCATTGTCGCTTCCTGACTAAAAACATTTTACTGATAAACCTTGCACCACGGAAACGGAATATTTAAGTCCGTACTCATCAGCAGTTGCAATAAACGGTCCATTGTTGGTCATAATCGAATCCATTAGACCTTCAAGATGGCCGTTATGGCAACCATCTTAGATATTGCATACTGCTACTTATCTTGAATGGGTATTTAATCATCATCAAACAAAAAAGGGTAAAGTCCTTAGGTGACCTTAATGGAAATTCGGGCTGTCTCGTTTAACATACTTGCTGTGTCACAGATATCTAAGTTCACGAGTTAATAGTCATATCTGAAATTCTGTCTGACACCAGATGCAACCATGTTCAAGGTAACCGCTGTAATTTATTGCTATATGGAAAATCCATCAGCAGCAACATCTGATCGGAAAATTTGAAGAGATCAAAGTGTTGAACACGGTAAGAAAGAGAGAGGGAGAAAAATAGTAGTATATAAAAAGGAAGCGTATTAGGATCACTTAAATATTTCTATCATTTTCGACAGACTGAAACGATTAGTTGTGACCATTGTAAAAGGCCTGGGATCTGGTCTTTGTGCCTCATTTATTAACCCATTGCTTATCAATCGCCTAGTTTGTATCCCTATGTACGGTGTCTGGCCCAACGACGTACTCTGTCGCCTTGCGTTCGCGTCTCGACCTCGTTAGAACAAAATTGACGTCACCATAGAAGATTTTTTGACATTTTCGTTCTACCGATGTCATTTTTCATTCGATTGTCCTGAAACGTCATTGAATCGTTCACATCTACCGTCTCTTTGAACTTCAAATATATGTCATTGTTACATGTATTGTCAATAGATTATTGGCATCCTCGCTCTACTGCTTGGAAATACCCAGAGTCATAATTGTAGTGTTCTGCACAGACCAAGGACAGGACACCGGTTTATGACGCGAATAGATCATCACAGACCGAGTTTTATTTTCGGACATTGTGATGGAGAAAGACCGCAACTGACTGAGATTTGGACCACAAATTTCGGAAGCCTTTACTGAGGAAAGGCCACCATTTAATGAGGGTTGAACCACAGAGTTCCTTTCGAGCCCTGTGTCGAGGAAAGGCGACCAGTGACAGAGGGTTTAACTACTGTGCTACTTTGGGACCAGTAACCAAGTGTTGGACCACACTGTTGATTTAGGAGTCTCTGACAAGAACGACAACCGGTGACTGACTGTTGGACCACACTGTTGATTTGGAAGTCTCTGACAAGAACGACAACCGGTGACTGAGTGTTGGACCATGCTCTTGATTTGGGAGTCTCTGACAAGAAAGACAACCGGTGTCTGAGTCTTGGACCAGTGTTGATTTGGGTCTAATTACTCATGCACTTTTTTCAGAGGTATCCGTGTAAATCTTCCCTTTGTTCGTATTTTGTCCTAGTTTTATTGAATCTGAGTTAGGATTATGATTATATCCACATGTTGGTAGTGATAAGTGTGTTTGGGAGCCTGTGACGAGGAAGGACCACCACTGACTGAGGGTTGAATCAAAGCGCAACTTTGTGAGCCTGTGACGAGGAAGGACCACCACTGACTTAGGGTTGGACCAAAACGCTACTTTGGGAGTCTGTGACGAGGAAGACAACCACTGACTTAGGGTTGGACCAAAGCGCTACTTTGGGAGCCTGTGACGAGGAAGGACCACCACTGACTTAGGGTTGGACCAAAACGCTACTTTGGGAGTCTGTGACGAGGAAGGACCACCACTGACTTAGGGTTGGACCAAAACGCTACTTTGGGAGTCTGTGACGAGGAAGGACAACCACTGACTTAGGTTTGGACCAAAGCGCTACCTTGGGAGCCCGTGACGAGGAAAGACCACCACTGACTTAGGGAAAGCGCTACTTTGGAGTCTGTGACCACTGACTTAGGGTAGCGCTACTTTGGGAGCAAAAGGACCACCACTACTTTTGGGAGTGTCACTGACTTATGGTTGGACCAAAGCGCTACTTTGGGAGCCTGTGACGAAGAAGGACCACCAATGACTTAGGGTTGGACCAAAGCGCTACTTTGGGAGCCTGTGACGAAGAAGGACCACCACTGACTTAGGGTTGGACCAAAGCGCTACTTTGGGAGTCTGTGACGAGAAAGGACCACCACTGACTTAGGTTTTGGACCAAAGCGTGGGAGTCTGTGACGAGGAAGGACCACCACTGACTTAGGGTTGGACCAAAGCGCTACTTTGGGAGCCTGTGACGAGGAAGGACCACCACTGACTTATGGTTGGACCAAAGCGCTACTTTGGGAGCCTGTGACGAGGAAGGACCACCACTGACTTAGGGTTGGACCAAAGCGCTACTTTTGGAGCCTGTGACGAGGAAAGACAACCACTGACTTAGGGTTGGACCAAAGCGCTACTTTGGAAGCCTGTGACGAGGAAGGGCCACCACTGACTTAGGGTTGGACCTCAGTGTTAATGATTTCAAAGGACCCACTGACTTATGGTTGGACCAAAGCGCTACTTTGGGACCCTGTGACGAGGAAAGACACCACAGACTCTGTCACGATCCTTACAGGGTCCCATGGTCAGTGTTGGTTTCCGTAACCCCCTACCCCTGGTCATAAATACATGTGCCCAATATTTTTGTTTTTTTTTCCTTAGTCACTAATCATCATTATGAATTTAACATTAACCTGAAAGAGAAATATTAAATATATATTAATGACAACGAGTGATGAATGAAAACAATTTTCTACATTTTTTTTAAGTTGGTTGGATATTTTTTTCTGTATGCATTAGTATCTACACTAAAGGAAGCTGTGGTGTTACTCGTCTTTTTTATTTATTTTTTTCTAAGATTTTACATGGTAAACATGGTACATACTCATCATTTTCTGATGATTATCCGAAATGAACTTTCCAGGTAGAGTCGATAATGACGTTCGTATGTTAAAGACTGTCTAAATAGCCAAATAATTATATGGCATAGTTATCACATGTTGTCAGTGTAATGTTCAAACATGACATAGGGTTGTTGTACCCATACAAACACTTATATGATGCCAAAGAGCGCAGTCATAGGCATACGATTACTATTTATCAGAAGCCACATAAATTAACCAACATGATATATGAATATTTTTCTTTTACAATTTTTGTGCGTGATGCAATGTCAATGCTGACGATATCTAAATAAATTGTATGTATGTCTGTGTCTGTGTGTGCGAGTTTGTTTATTATTATCATTTTTTATTTATTTATTTATCTATCGTTATTATCATTATTATTATTATTGTTTTGTATTTTTTTTCTTTTGTTTTGTTTTTGTTTTATTTTTCATCCCCGCTATACAAGCGATAGTTCGACCTCAGTGTGTTGTTAAGTTTGAGTTATTTCCCCTGTATCACCTAGCGACAAGTAAACACATGTGTATAGAGTTTCCAGTTGTACAGTATGTTGTGATAACACACACACCATTACTAATACCTACCATTGAAATGAACCCGTTAACACAATAGGTCTTTTTCACATCACAGGTCTAATTGTCTGACCCAGTCAGAGTGCTCAGAAATTCAAACTTTAATCAATACCTACACTACATATGAACAAGCAGGGAAAAAAAAGTGTCGCGACACTGCTTTCATGGCACAAGTCAGACTATAAACTTATCATTTTCTTTATATATCAGATATCATACCAACGGGTATTGCATATGTAAAATGTCTGATTTGCGAGCCTCGGCTTTCGAAAACTAAAACTTCGAGACGATTATCATAAAATTTCGCATTAAATGAAAACAAATTTACTTTCATCACATAACCCATCGAAGTTACATTAAGACGGGTTTAAAATATAGGTCATTTTTGTGTCATTTTCTATTAATGACGTAACGTCATTGATAATATTATGACATCGCAATCGATATCGTGTTGACGCAGCCAGACGCCCCAACACTTGTATTTACGCAAACATATTATATTTGCGAATCGATGGATAACAGGCGGATTTTGTGTATATATGCTTGTATGGTACTTGAATATTCTTTACTGTTTACCGTTATAACACACAATATTAAACATTTTTGTTTTTTTTTCTTGATGTTTCTGTTTTGTGATTTTATATTGTTTTCTTTGATTCACCATTTTCTCATGTACCTTTTCAATACAGAAACTTAAGATGATGTCTCTCTTTTTTTATTTGTAGAATAAAGTTGACTGCGATGAAAATTATAATAAACATCGTTATAGTGAGCAATAGGATCCCTGCCCATGTTTTTAAAAGATTAAAATCAGCTATTCCTTTGGGTGTATTGAGGGGGAAATACACTAGTTCACTATGTTTTAAATCAAATAGTGAACTCGAAACAAATCAACCACTGACGAAAATCAAATGCTTATTGTTTGTTTGTTTGTTTGTTTTTTTTTTTTTTTGTATTTTTGTTTTGTTTTGTTAGCTTTTTCTTTTTTCTCGTGGGACTAAGAGAAATTGAATTCCAGATGAATGTAGGAACCGATTCACTATAAGCGAATGGTGAGTTACGTTAACGGTCAGAACAGTCAAAACGATCAACCCGAACTTTTTCTATGGTATTAAGTAAATTTTCCTTTCATTATAGTGCGTACTTTAACCAGATAAAGAGAAAATTCTAGAGATGTAAACATCTTTTCGTGAATTTTATTTGTTCTCCTCCTCCTCCTTTTTGTTTGTTTATTTATTCTTCGTATTTTTGTCTTCATATTACACTTCATACACACGTATTTTACTTATATGCTTTAAGACTCTCGGTGAATAGAGAATCTTAATGCGACTCAAAAAACGATTAAATACGTAAAAAGTTGTCTATATCTATAACTGTTGCTACGTCTCTTGGTTAAAGGTAAAACAACACCATATTTAAGACATCGTGTTGGAAATAAAAATATGTATGTATTTCCAGTCAAATGCAGCTGAAGGTCACCGTTTCTAGGAAGATAAATACAAGGAATCTTTTTTTTATCAACAATTGCGGAACAATATACAATTACGTATATATAAGCCATTGATAATTGCTTGGTTAGAGACGCACACGAGTTATAAACCAATTAATACCCGGGAAAACCTTACATGAAACCACGATTGATGAAAACATGATAATATTTTACTCCTTTGATTGATTTTTTAAAAAGTTGTTTCTTATAAACAATATTATATAAATGTATAATTAATTATTTAAATGTTTCAGGGCGATAGGTATTGAATCAAGACAAGATATATAAGTATCCATGTACAAACACCAAATGGTGTATAAACATATCAATGCTGACTCTAATGATGATGACGTCTGTCACGAACACTCTGATTGTTATGTGTTCGATATACCTTGTTATATATAATAAAAAAATGCCAGTCATTTTAATACTAGAGTTAATTATGGCACGGATGTTTAATTAATTAACGCATCTCACGTTTCAGTCTGAATCTTGTCAACCACACACACGATTTATCTAATTATTTATTTTCCCTGTTTAGACACCAGTTTACATGGTTTGTTTTAAAATATATTAAAAAATGTCTTAAATTCCACCAAACCCAACCCCCAATCGCTTCAAAAAGTTTGTTTTTAAACGTTTTGAAAGTGATGCCACATACTTTTTCCCTGACCGTTCATATCTTGTATGAAATATGATTTATGCGCCAGCTTCTTTACCTACGCATGCTCCCAGTTACATACCATTCACAAAGCTACAACCTTACGTTGTAATAAACATATTCAATTAGGTTATTAGTTAACCTTTGTGTATCTTACTACTGCCTTAATAAGTAGCCTCCTGCTTAAAATGGGATACACGAGGTAACATACAACAATACCTGTATGATGAATTATAATTGGTTTCGTTTTAAATCTGATGTGTTGCATATTTTACGTGAAATGTTTCTCTATATTTGTACAAGGTCTTAATATCTTTAAGTCCGTTCCTTCCCAAAAATTTAGGATTTTTTAATTTTGGTTATATATTATTAAGTTTAGGTTAAAAATGCACAAAATATATTAATTTTTCCAAATTGTTACTTGTTACTTTTTTCTCCAAAACTTCCCGAGGGAAGTTCTATTTCATATGATAACAAGATAACATAGTTATTAGTATTTTCGGCACACATCGTCCAACGCCAAGATAATTCACCATTAATGTATTGTATAGCCATCTTGTGTAACAAATACACTTTACTTACGCATAAATCAGATAAGTTTTTTTTCTCAATACCAGCAAGAAAACATTTTAAAAGATTAACGACTTTACTTTGTTTAAAAACACAAAATATCGTCACATGGCCTAGATATATGATAACCAAAACAATGTTACATATAGGCAGGCCATACTGTCACTTACTTCATGAAAGATTCTTAACGAGTACATAAGATATCTTATTCACTTCACGAAATATTGAAGATAAATTGGATACAGTTCCATGATTTATCCTTGTCTCAAAAATAAATATTGGCCTAGCTAGCTGACCATGCACATACGTCATCGAGTTTACAGATATCGAAGTGTTATTTTGTCCTTCACGTGGTTCAGTTTTCCTTCGTCTAGCGTGAACCCATTCAATCAAGCATATTAAACCTGGGACAAGAAATAAAATGCAAAGAACCGTATATATTCTGTTGAATATTATAAACATATATGGAAAGCAAATAAACATGAAATATGATATGAAGAAAAAATTAGAAAGCATAAGAAAAAGAAGCAAATAATTTTGAAAAAACCACACGCATCGCTGTATTAAAAAATCACAGATATGATGCTTTAAACACCATTTTAAAGAGTAAACACCAATACGGTGTTTTCACTAAATGGGATATTTATACTGGCATATGTTTATGTAGTGTAAATAAATTTCCAGAATATCACACAGTTAGAGCCTTTTGGTGATATTTATATATAACTGTATATTGATTCGTCTATAATATATCATACATATATAATAATACGATATTTCGTGATAATCATGTCTCATTATTATACTTAAGTTAGGTGTGCAGTGTATGCGAATTCGGAAATGTGATTTTTTCTCAATTTCTTTATCTATTTAATTTGAAATATTAATACCTAGATCGCACCACAGTCTTAGAATGAAGTCCGTGATCGCACCGCTCGTATCAAATTAAGTGCTTATCGAAATATAATTGATTGCAGCCCCTGTGCTACAATTAATGATCTCTTTAAAATGGGATTAAAAGTTGGTGAGTCGCCTCTCCATCCTTGACGCCGTACTATACATTTATTTAACGGGGTTAACATCCACTATTACAGCGTTTGGGCCTTTCAGCGAACGAATATGTGACATCGTATTGCAGAAGTACCTGTTTTATATACAATATACATCCTTCTAAATGTATGGTAACCACTTGTAAACTTAGCAGTCACATGACCACAGGTAAACCTTACAATTCCATGTGACTTGAATCAGCCAATCAAATAGCTTGTTTGGTGTTGAAGCGATCTGTACATTGTTGGAAGGGAAAACGTTCTTCCTGGGGGGAAATTTTCCTTTTCGACATGCCAAATAAACCAAAGAAAGAGAAGGTAGGTGTTTTGGTACGAGTATTTGTATGTATGATTACGATCATTCAATTTTTGAGACTTAAACCAATGAATTATCGCTAGATTTCCTGTTTGACATGTCAAAATTCCGACTGACAGACACGCCGCTTGGCAAATAAACAGGGTGTATTTAGTTAAATATGAATGTTTTTGTTTGTTTAATTGACAGACAGTTACAAAGACTACTGGTGGAACGAAAGCAAACGCAAAAGAAAGTACCGAAAATGCAGAAAATGAGGTATGTCTGTTATTATTTGCTATTTATACGAAACATTCACTACCAAAGATGGCAGCCATATTGACATGGTATCAAATATGGCGGCTTGCCTGAAATGCAAATTTCTCTTAATTTCAAAGTGTTTTGGTAGTCACGTTGAAACACATAAGTGGTATCGTGTTTTCATAGATGTATGCCCATTTGCTTGCAGGCAAAGAAAAAGGCGGCGAATCAAAATGCCGAACAACATCCTCCTCCAGCACAGATTTCCAAAATGAAATTTTCAGGCCCCCCTCACGTCAAGAAAGACAAAAGACAAAATTCATCAAGATTCAACGTGTCTAAAAACAGGGAACTTGTGAAGCTGCCTCTCCTTAAAGGTACATGTTATTAATGTTACAGAATAAGCTTAACCGAAACCGTGAAAAACAGTTCAGCACAAAGTTGTTTACATATTAGGTGGTTGTAATGATTATAATCTAGCCAATTTAGTGATATGAAGACACGACTTTGATAATTAATGAAGATATTTAACAATTTATTATAGGATTCTGATATGAAATTAATGGGTCATACGTAAATCAAGATTGTTTGTTTTATTCAATGAGGCAAATCACGATCCTCTGGCTTTCCCAACTATACTGTTTGGCCAGGCAATATTCACAGGTGTCTGCATTGGAGACCTCCCCCAATACAAAATTTAAAAGGCTGAAATTATCTGTAAAAAGATTGTTTATAACAGGAAGGAGTGATGATAGACATGATCTGGGCCCATGTCGACTTGAAATAGCAACCTTTTGTCTTTTAGTTTGACATTTTCTATTAAAGCAAAATTCTCACTAATTAAGACTAGTATGGTGCTCTCCTCTGTTACTTCCTCCTTCACAAAGTCTTAAGTCCCCAAGGTCATGACACAAGTTCTTTAGATCCAAGGAAGCATCATCAATCCTTTAGCTTCTATCTTTTGAGGGGTCCTTAGGAAAAACATTCTGTATACCCTGATAGTTTTTTAGGGACTGTTTAGTCTCAAGACAGACATTCTACTATTTGACTAGTTAGGTCACCTACACTTTATACTTACTTACTGTCCTACCTGTTTTTATTACCAAGATTTCTAAAACTTCAAATTTATGGCATGAGCATGATGAAATCATTGCTAGTCATTTCAAAGGCACATATGAAAATGTTAGCCATTATATCAAACATGCAACATCCAGATCTTCACGAAAATAATCAGCCATTCAGTTCTACTAATTTTGTGTTTTAAGTGTAAGTGGGTCTTTATTCTGGTCTGCTGTGTTCAGTCATCATAGTCATTTACTATCGGTAAAAATACTAAAATCTTAGTTTATAAATTACATAATAATTGTGTAGGTCTTGTATATGATAGTGATAAGGAAGTTAAGTCAGATTATCTTCCCAGTGTTAGGGTGTATGAATCATTGAAGTTCATCTGATGGATATATTTTTAAAAGCCTTCTTGTGTATTTTCTATTATGGCCATTGCTTGTAACAAGGTTTATCTAGTTGCTAAAGCTTTGCAATAGGTGAAGATTATCAAAACCTTGCAAAACTTGTGTCAAATGATACAAGCGACATTTATAGAGGATTTGACTTCACAATCTTATGTCCTCTAGATTGAACAAGGATTTCATCTGGTTTTGTTTTGTAAATTTTCTTGATGAAAAAACAATATTATGGGTAAATGATATGCATTTTTCTTTACTCAGTCTTAGGTTTAAATTTCACAGCAGAAGGATAGACATCAGTTTGGTGAAATTCGAGAAAGTTAACTCTTGAACATGTCAGTCTACATTACTTTGAAATAGAAATAGAAAAGAAATACATTTATTATCTTTCTGTTGTCAGTGAATCACTCAACAAGACTTTTTGATAATGGTAAATTAACTATTGGCATAGTGAAAGTGTTAAGCTCTTGAATATTACTGAAGTTTATGTTTCAGAATTTTAGGAAAGGTCATGACTGATAGGTAGTGTACAGGCACTTAGTGGTGACTTGTTTTTATTGATAATTGAACCATTGGTTAGTAAAAGGGATAAAGTAATTGCAATCAAGTGAAAATCTAACCTAGATAATTAGCGATTTGAGTGTATGGTATGGTAAAATTAGTTATTTCATTATAAAGCAACTTCCCAGTATTTCTTTTAACTTAAATTTGTGTCACAAAAGTATGAATGTGAATTTGTAAAGTAAATATGAATAAAGTATACCTGTTGTGTCAGACTATTCATATGGCTGTACATCATCATAATTGTGAGAGGACTAAAATATTCCAACATTAAAGAAAACCATGGTGTTGGCTCTACTCTAGCTTTATTTCATTCTGATTATATTTTACTTCTGTTTAATACTGTAGTGGATGTGTTCATTGGAAATATAGCATTTGGTTCCTTTTCAGTGAAATTTGAAGTGACCTTTTCTGTCAGAGTTGCTTATTATAAAGGTGTGACAGTTATTATTTTACTGACTAACTTGAATACTCTTTAGATTGAAGCAGTAGTCACAAGTAGTTGTTAAATGCAAATTTGCATTTAAACCAGTAACTATTAAGCCTTGTCATAGCAACTGATCTTGTGAAATTTTTTAATTATATTCACGTTATATTTATCTGGAGTTGATGAAGTTCAAGAGCTTTGTATATAAAAAGTAACCTGTGTTAATCCTTCTTGAACAAGCACAGAAGTTTTGACAAAAAATATACAGGTTAACTTTTTTTGCTCTCCATGTCTGCTTTTACATGCATGTCTTTTGAGTATGATGAGTCAACTATATCAAGGTTGTGACAGATATAATTTCTTTTTTGAAAACTAGAATGAAGAACATTCATTTTTGTAAGTGAAAAAAGGCAGGGAGCCATATTTATTTTTTTTAATGATATATATGATGGTTTTGGGGAAATACCTTTATTAAGGTAACCCCAGATTTTAAGTTGCATGATCCTATAATTCTTGCCCTAAATTCCATAAAATTATGAGTAGGTATAGGTGAAGTATGAAATTTTCAGGGTTTTTCACTGGGGCTCAGTGGTGCTGAATGTGATATCCACACCCATTCCCATTTGGATTTAATTCAAACTTGACTGAATTCACAAAATATTTATTTGTGTTCTTAACAATTTGCTTCCTGACTGGTCACTTTTCTTGAGATGAAATAAAAATGCTATTTCCCCAATGAGAAGAAAAAACCCACTGAAATTGATATTTTTACTGAACTTTCAAACATGTCTGTGGTATTTATTGGGGGTATGTGCAACCATGCATGTGAAAATAAGATATTATTTTTACAATTAGTATTGGAATGCTGACATGTGCAGGTTACCTATTTCTCACTTTTCATTGACTCAAGGCCATTATAAACTATTTAGTCTGATTAAGGTTGCATATAATTGATACAGCTAATATGAACTCAGTGTACCATATCCATGTAGTTGGCTGTTGGTGCTTGCTTTCTTGTGATAGAATGGAACTCTTGCCTGCAATATAGTGCTACCTCACTGGAGTGCCATGCAAGAAGCCCAAGAGCAATGGACAAAAGCCCTATCTCAATGAAAGGTTAACACTCTTCACCAGGGCTGAAATAAGGCAGTAGGAAAACTTTACAAAGTAAAAGGCAAACGATAGAAATGGAGTCTGAAAAAAGCAGGAAAATTGTATATTTGACATAAGAGAACATTTTGGAAGACACAGTAGTAGTTGACAAGGTATAGGTATAATGTTATATAATAACTGCAGGAAATGTAACACTGATGATATGTAAGTGACATAGTTTGTGACACTAAGTGCATGTGTATATTGTGCTAAAGGATATGTATACTTGTGTTGTCAGGTGTGTTCATGTCTGGTTTGTTGTGGCCAGCTGCTCTAATGATGATGTGTGATGCATCCATGTTTCTGTTGGATGTAAACTAGGTTTAACATCTATCATAGTATCCTGTTAAATATTGTGTCTTGAATGATATGAATTATTCAGAAATTATGTCAACATTTCATTTCATTTAAGAGCTGATGAATGTTGGAACTGTGGCCCTATAAAATGTGAGGGTCAGCATTCAAACCATAATCATGGAAAGAAATTGTCATATTTCAAATGCATACCACACATTGAATGAAAGTCTAAATTTATCTGCAAGCTGATATCAATGTAATGATTTAAAGATGAGTACACAAAACAATTATTTATCAATATTTTGTTTGAAATTAGGGCAGGAATTTTACAAATGACTTAATGAGGTCCTGTGATTCATAAGGTATTTTCCCAAAGTTATGACATATTTATTATAACATAAATAACCCAGATGAAAATATACACACACTCACAGCTTTGTTACACTCACAGAAGTAAATGTCCGTAGGGAAATTACTGTTTCAATCTTAAATGAAGTACCATAGAGTCAAATTTTGAAATAATGAGAGTGACTCCATTAAATGTACAAAAAGCACAAAAGGGAAGTGGAAAGGGAGAGCAAAATGTTGATTACATTGTTGTAAGAACTCCTGCACATGTTCAAGAAGCACCAGACATAGCCCTATGATCAGATGAGACATGAGTGTATGTGTTGGTGTGGGTCAGTTATTTACTTTTTATGGTGCTGAAGCTATGACTCTTGTCTCCAGACTGATATAATAAAAGTCAATAGAACATCAGGATAATTCAAACTCTATCCAGAACCGATATCTCTGGTGATCATAAGGTGACCTCAGGCTGCCTTCTGTATTGTATTACATCATCTCAGGTGGTGGAATAGTAAGAGTTTATTTATGAGAAACTTTTGACAAATGTTCATTTATGAAAAATCATTCTAATCGATAAATTTAACAAAATACTTGAAAAGCAGAGAAAACAATTTGTCGCAACAAAATAAACTGCAACAGGAAGCTGTTAGAACAGATCATGTTTCAGGAGTATGCTAAGTCTATACAACCCATTGTAATTAAAATGCATGACTGGTTCAGGAACAGGCCTAGCTATAAATACACCTGAACTGTATGACAGTTTCTGTTTTAAGGATGGCATAAACACAGTATGAGATGTATGAGGTTTTATGTTTCAAGGTCATGGTTCACACACCTTGACAGAGATGTGAGAGGTGCATGTGTCAGGGATAGGACACAGGGTACAGACACCTTGACTTAAAGAGACGATAGAGGTTAATGTATCTGGTATAAGATACAGAGTACAGACACCTTCACTTAGAGATGTCATAGGTTCACCAGGATGAAATAGAGAATACAGACTTCATATAGGTTCATAAGTTGGGTATAAGCTACAAAGTACAGACCCCATGACTTATGTAAGAGGTTCACAAGGATAGAATACAGAGTACAGACACCATACAGGTTCATGTGTTAGGGATAAGAT